AAAGAAAAGAAAAGAAAAGAAAAGAAAAGAAAAGAAAAGAAAAGAAACACAGTGCATTCAAGGGGAAGGGGTAAAAAAGTCTGTGATGACTGGCTAATTAATCCAGAATTCTCAGATCACAGGCATAGTTAAGAGATCAATAAGTAAGAAGAAAATGGGTAACAGCAGACTTGAAGCTTAGGGGAGAAGTCACTCAGTGATATCCGTGGTTATTATTCAGGTTATGGTGAAGAAAAGTATTTACAAACACAAATACTCATTCCCTTTGCAGTTTAAGACAGCACAGATTTAGATAGTAGACCACTGAGTCAAAGGGAACAGGTGCTAACATTTCAAAGTGTTCATTTGTGTTTCCTGGATTGTACGTTATCTTTCAAATCACATTTTGCTTCCATCACACTGTAAGCCTAGTGTTAATAACAAATCCAACGTGACAATGGACGCAAGACACTGATAGAGGTGACACCACTGGCTACGAGACAGCTGTGGAAAGAAACAGGTTTCGTGAAGGTTTTTGAAGAGATTCCTGAGGAGGGGCGGGCAGCAGTGTGCTGTTCAATAATAGAGGCTACAAGTAGCAAAGGAGACAACAGAAATGCACTCCGAATTTACATACAATCATCCGCTTGTAAAGTGAAATCCGATATGATTGATACTTCTTAGGGTCATCTGCATATAATTCCTCAAAATACTGAAAAAACAGGCACAATGGATATTTGTTTTTCTGTGTGTCTTTGAGGGGAATTCAACTTCTCAGCAAAATCAATTTAAAAATATTTTTAAAACCCAAATAATTAAAGTATATATTCTTGAAAGGCTCTGCCATTGCCTTCTGATCTTTCCAGTATAGATGATTCTAATTATATATATATATATGCATGCATATATATATATATATATATATATATACACACATACACATATATTTTCACATGCTCAGAGGACACAGGCAACATCATTTCACGTGCTCAGAGGACACAGCTCAGGCATCATCATTTAGCAGGTAAATAGAGCAGTGGCGATTATTCCTCAGATAAAGCTGTTATTTCACTCCTCAGACCTGCTCACGAGTTGCTCTATTTTTTTTTTTCCGCCGTCAGCAGTAGTGACAAGGGCAAGAAGGCAAATGAAGTGAAAGCGAGAATCACGGCAAGGTGGCACTCTTGTCTGAAGTTGTAAAGGCTGGTGAGAAGCTGCGTGCCCTCCTTCCCTGAAAGGCAGCATGGGGAAGGCCTGTGGAGTATGCTTCCAAGAGGAGGGAGAAAGGCCATCTTTGTGTTTGTGTTGGGAGGCAGGTGGGTAAGAGGGTTACACAGGGTAGGGTTTCTAAGAACACTAAGCCTAGATCTCACTGCTGCTTTACTATTCTGCTCAAGTGTTTCCTAAAGAAATGCACAATTACGAATGAGAAACTGTATAATGGTTTTGAAAAGTGCATTATTCCCTACACTTAAGTTTGAAACCATTCTCCAGAGTGAGGTATGAGAAGCAGCTGACTTGAGGAGGCTTTTCTAAAACTCAGAGAAACTCATTAACTAGTCTCTTCCCCTTAGAATTTGAAAGCTTGATTTACTTTTCTATTAGCTGTGAAAAACTGCCAAGAAAATTCATCCTGCAGACAAGCTTGCAAAAAAAATGGTGAATCAACTTAGCAAAAAAAAAAAAAAAAAAAAAAAAGACTCTGGGAACGTGCCATCCAGAAGTATCTTGATTTCACGGTTTCACCTTGTATTTTAAGATAATCATTCACAAGCACAGCATTTATACACTGATGAATCATTATAATTTAGCATATTTATCAATACTTAAGCATTCAAGCACTGTTAGTTCAATTTAAGCAACAATACACTTGAGAGTAATAAAATGACATTTTAAAAATATTCCATGATTCAGAATACTTTCTCCCACGAATTAGTAATATTTCAGTCACTCTGGAAAGAGTCCAACACCTGCTGTCACTTGCCTCTCCCATTCCCACAACAGAGCCTCATGCAGCAAGCTATCCTCAGAGGGACAGACAGTGAGAAGAATACTTTTAGGTTTTGTGTCTAATTTAATAAAAGGTGGGTGAATAGATGACACTAGAAAACTATTTGTAACATAAATGATCACTAATGGAGTTTCGGAGTGGTAATTCAGACTGTTAAATCTGCAGAGAAAATCCAAACTATTTTTATTAAAGGTCATTAAACCCTGAACAACAACAAAAAAGACTGGTCACTACCAAGTCTTAATAGCTTTTCTCAAAACTAGGCTGACACGACAATATAGATTTTATGTAGAAATTTGGAGCTATAACTTTTCAATGACTTTTAATTTAATAAATATATTTATTAAACTTAAGTAGGTTTAAAAAATCTGTAATAAGTTATTTTGTGACAGAAATATTTTAGAAAATATTTCCTGTAAAAGAAGGAAAGAGGAAAGAAAAGGAATAAGAAATAACTTGGACTCTGTGCCAGCACTCAGAATCTGGCAAGAGAAAAAAAAAATATTCATTGCACTTCTGTTAGAATAAAAAATGTACAAACTTGAATCCTGATGTCCCTGCACCCTGACCTGGGGTCAGGTATGCTGACGCTATCCAATGTCCACCAAAAGCCCCTGCTTCGTTCTGCCAACCACCTTTCCTGACCGTCACTCCAACCCCACCTGTCTGCTAGAGATGGAGGCAGGAATGGCCTTCGTGGCTGCCTAGGGACCAAAGGTCAAAAGAGCTTGTTCCTGGTCTCTACTGTGACAACCACGTAACAACCTCCTTATAATGGCAGGGTCTGAAGCTGAAGTGGAGAAAGGAGGTCACCTGAGTTCTCAAGGATAGCAAAAGCCCAGCACACAGTCAGGGGATATCTCCCAGACCCTCCAAGCTAGGTCTAAGAATGCTCAGACACGCCAGAGCCTTCTGTCCGAAACACAACCTGTGCACGTGCCTTTTTCATTTCTACCAACACAATCACATTTTCCTTACTCCATCTCTGCTAGAGAAAGAGGGTATCATGTGTGAGGCAGTGAGTCTCTCCCAGTCAAAAAGGATGTGTTTGATCAAAAAACAACTAGGACCGTGCTGGAGGGCCAGGCACTGCCTACTAAGGAATGCACGGACCTGGGCGCCTCTCCTTACCAAATTTTCGTTGGTCAACCTGGTGATCTCGTGTTGCAGGCTGGCCTCGATGCGGGCCTCCGGGGGCAGCTGCAGGTTCTGGGCCAGCAGCTGCTGCTGCCGGTTGTTCTCCTCCTTCAGGCTCTGGATCTCTCCACGCAGGGCTTCAGCCTCATTCTCGTGGCTCCTCTTCTGTGACTGGAGCTGGGATTCCAGGAGCCTGAGGAGAAGCCACACAGGGTGAAAAGGGAGAGGACACCTGAGTCTCTGCTCGGTGGGTGTGACACTTTGTGCTCACTTGCAAGGGCAGGAAGAGTTTGTGTAACTTCTGATTTCATTAAAGTCAAGAAGCTCAAACAAGGGCCAGCACCGGAAACAAGCGCTCTCATATTTGTGTCTTTCTGAATTGTGGACCCTGCTACAAATATATCATCTTCAAAGGCTCTAACAAATAGAAAAGTTTAAGCTCTTTTGAAAAGTTTATAAGAAATGATGACTAAAATAATCAATTTAAAAGACACAGCTTTAATCTGGTTTACAACATTTACAAACTAGCATTTGAGTTGGCAAAGACAATACCTTTGTCACAGAGTAACTACACTGCAGAGGGCAAGATTACAAACTTCCAATGTAATTAAATATGCCTTTAAGAATTTCAGTGTTACTAATTTCAGGCAGAGAGTGTGTCCAGGGTCTCATTTCTACTTTCTACTCTTATCTCTGAAGGACAGAAAGGCTTGAGTGTGACTCTGAAATATATACAGATTTTCCCAAATGCAGATCGTTCTAAAACTTCATATACATGCATTTTAAATTTGTCATCTTCTCTCTTCCCCATAAACTTCCATATCAATAACAGAATCCTAACAAGACATGTTTTAGAACAGAGATGTTAATAGGATGAACAAAGTGGTTACTGCTTCTCTGAGCAAGCATGCAAGTCAGCTGTGCCTGTAAGTAGACCAGGGTGTTGGTGGTGAGAATATCAGCACCCCTCATTTACCATGCACCCCCACTCCTACATCCACCCCTTTTCCAAACACAGAACCAAGTTATGGTTACAAATTAACTAACACAAAGAAAGAAATGACGTCCTTTTATCCTAATCCCCTTTGTTATCAACTGCTGGGCAAAAGTTAGTGATGCCATTGCAAGCAAATTGTTAACAACAGACTGAAAATATCTAGTAATTATAAAATTTCAAAGGAATCTGAATAACACCACAAAGTTAATAATGATGGCTTGTGGTTAGAACAAACAAAGCAGAATAAGCAGGAACTCCTTGAAAAAGAAGTTAAGTATTTTAAAAATGTAATTACTAACGTAGTATTTTTATGAGATTTTAAAAATACAAATATCCCTAGAGCAGATGAATGTCTATGTTAGAAAGCTGCTGTTGTTTCAATTTTATTTTGCTTTCCCCTAAACACATGTAATGTGTTGAGTTTAGGTAATTATTTTGAACTGCAGCAATGCAGGAGACCCCCCCTGATTTGTGGTCTCACATATCAGAATTTCACAAGAATCACATAGAAGGCCAAATTATGCACTCAACACTGCTGTTAGGCAGCACGGTACTAATATAGAAGACCGCACAGTCTCAATGCCACAGGTGCTTATGTCCTTTCGATTAGTCATTATTCCAAACAAGAAACCACTAAGTAATAGGTATTAATCTCTCCCACGGTAATTTGGGCTCTAGTTGAAAGGTTTTGTCTTTTTTCCCAACTCCTACTGGGAGATTCACAAATTTTAGCGTGTGAAAGAAAGATCCTTCACTTATGGCCCGCAACTCCTATATTCACTATCAATCCATTTCAGCTTTAATTGCATCCTTTAGTGGAGAAGATTTTTAAGAAGGTGTTGGCTGAATGTTCTAAGTTTTGCTGAAATTTACCCAGGAAGACAATTAATGTATAAGAAACATAGAAGTTAAAGTCAGGAAGACACTGTTAGTAAGAGAAACAACAAATTAATAACATTCCATTTTGAAGAGACAAATATAACCTGTTGGCTTGTTTTAACCCTTCATAAACCAGCCACAGCTCTCCATCCTCATTCAACTCATGGCAGTCCATAGCAGGTGATCTTCCATGCAAAAGGAACAACAATGCAAAACACAAAGGGATACAGGACGGTCATGAGATGATGATGGACAAGAGCAGCACATGGTATTCCAATACTTAATTAAGTCAATGAGACTTTTTTTATTAATTACAAATGACTTTAAGACATTATCACAAAAATTATTTTTGGTTAATTTTTTAAAAAATGGGTAACATATAACATCACATGTCAATGGGTAGAAAGTAAAACAAAATACAATCAAGGAGTGAGAAGCACTTTTTCTGCAAAATCTGAAATGAATGAAAAGGTGAGAAAGAGGTTCTGTTTTTAACATTTTATTCAGCTAGCAAAGTGATCTTATATGTCACATATTATATTAGAGACCAAGCATGACAATCACACACACATAGAACAAAAACTTCAGCTACTGTCTTCATGGGGCAATCTTCACAATCCATTTCAAAATGAATGAAGCTTTAAGTCTTCTAAGTAGAAACTGGTTTTCACTTAATAAAATCTGCTTTCCTATTTTTAAAACTGTCTTAAGAAATTCTTATAGGGGTAACTTATAAATAAGTATATGTCCAAAGTTCTCAGCTTTTATGACATGATTTTTAAAAAGATTTTTTGTGTCAAAAATTAACGTTAAGATCTGGAGAAACTGCTTTTCTTTTAGAGATGTGACACATTTTAATAAAAGTATGTATAAATAATAAATAATAATGACAAAGTCAAGTACAGGTTTTTTTCTACCTGGAGTATAAAAATAATATTTTGGGGTATTTGCCATCAGACACTGTCCTACATCCTTCCACGTGTATGATTTCATTTAGTTCTCCTAGTAACCCATCATGTATCATTTGCGACACTGCAAAGGGAGACAATGAGTCTTAGAAATAAGATACCTGTGGAGGTTACACAGCTGGCAAGTAGCAGAGCCCAGGGCTATCTGACTCCAGAGTCCAGGTTTTTACTCTTCCTACTAGACTTCTCTTTATATGATGTGTACATAAAGCACAGGCCAGAGAATGCTCTTCTGTTTACCATCTCCCCTTGGAGAATTTATCCATTTTCATGGTCGCAATTATATTATTATATGTTGATGACTTCAAAATTTGTATCTCAGTCTATATACCTCTCCTATTCCAGATCTATATTTTCAACTGCCTATGGATTTCTCTCCTTAGATGTCTTCCTAGCTCCTTAAATTCATTACTTATAAATCTGCTGGTCATCTCCACCCTGAACTTCCCCACACTACAGACCCAGGATCATGAAATGGCATCATCACCACATCCAACCAAGTATCCAAGCAGACACTTGACAGCCACCCTCCATAATTCCCTATCCCTCACCCGCACATCCAAGCCACAAGATTTACTGACTTCATCTTATGTATCTTATGTATCATTCAAAGTGTCCCCTTTCAATCTCAACTGCCACCAATCACATCAAAGTCACTGTAATCAGTCATTTAATTACAGTAATAGCTTCCTAACTAGTCTTTACGCCTTCAATCTCTTTCTACTATAATCTGTTCTCTAACATAAAAGCCAGGGCTAGCTTTCTAAAATTCCAATATCATATCATTCTCCTACTTAAAACATTTCAACAACTTTGACTGTCATTGGAGTGATGTCCATATTGTCTTGGCTGTCTCCCCAACAGCCTACAAACTCTGTGAAAGCAAGAACTACATTTATCTTCCTTACTATTCCCAGTGTGTGACACAAGGCCTAACATGAAAGTGGCATGCAATACATATCTGGTGATTGAATAGCAGAGTGGATGGGTGGACAGTGTAATATAGCTCTTTCTATACTAACACATTCTTACATAGAAGTTATGCTTATACTTTATTCATAAATTAAAATTTAAGTTTAATCCAATACTTCTTAAGCATTCTTCATTCTTACCCATAAAACAAGAATAGTACCTTAAATTTTGTATGGCAATATTCTTTAGTCTGTAAAGTATTTCTGTATACTAGCCCTGATATGACACAGCAGGAGACTTAGACTGCACACTTGTAACACAAATCCCCAGAATCATCTTTCTCCATGATCATCACATGTTCTCTTAAGCATGTAGCCTGTAAGTTCAGAGTTCAAAAGCAAAGAGGCTCTGTTGGGAAGTGGGGGTGGTAGGAAGGCTGAAGGAATTGCAGAGATGAGACTTCACTCTGTGATAATCTCAGCTACAGGGGAAGTCTTTAGTAAAGTTTCATCATTTAGGGCTGTGCAAATCCTGTACCTTCAGTCAGACTACCCAAAGCTCTTGGGTGCTAAGTGCTATCTATAACTTCACTTGTGTTTGTGGTAAATAAGATAAAATCAGAGTCAGGATTTTCTCAAAACACCTTAGGAAATGTGACAAATACTTGGTCTTAAATATCAGGGTCCCATCCAAGTACTCTTGTAGAATGATATGGCCAACACTGATATGATTCCAGATACTTCCTCACTTCTCTCCACTCTGAATTTCAATTACTGAAAGCTAAAGTTGCCCCTATAAGCCTTTACAAATAACCAACCATCCTGAACAAAATATGAAAGTGACTACCCAAGACAGTCCAACAGTGAGCAATTGGTTTTCCTCTCAAGGCTAAGACCCTAAATAATACAGAAATATCATCCCTTGATGTAAAGAACATTCATTCCCCTTGACCTCTCTCATCAATAATGCTACCTCAATATTGTAACTGAGATTTTAATGAGGAATTTATTAGAAACCTTGAATTCCCTCTGAAGGTCAGATGGTGTCTAGTAAAGGTCAGATGATGTCTATATAAACACTCTGACTTACTGTACAAAAGACTGGCTTAAAGACAAAGATACACATGACTATGATTAAACCAAAATGAATAAAAAGAAAATGGGCTTACCTGTTTGTTTCTTTCAAACCAATGTATGCTTGTGCTATTTCACCTTTATCTTTCATTTTTTGCACATCTTCCAAAAGTATTGTGGAATCTGTCATTGTATTCTGAAGGGGGAAATGACACATTTCCACATTAACAGTCAACTCGAAAGCTTTAGACCACACACAACATTGCTCTTTCCTCCAGAAGAGAGGATTTATGTGTTCCCCCAGAGCTGCTGGTCCCACCAGAGTGCCAGGCCCGGCCCCGTGCAACTACAGAGGAGGGTCTGGCACAGGCAGCTAAGAGCAAGAGACACCTTCAGTCCCTCTCTTGAAAATCCCTATGGCTCTACTACAAAGGTGGTGAGATTCTAGAGCACCAGTGTCCTGTAAATAAAATCACTGATGGGCTGTGTGTATTTTACATTATGTGTAAAAATATATATATGTGTGTGTGTGTGTGTGTATATATATATACATATATATGTATACAAATATATATATATTTCATTAAATAGCTCTTTAGTGTCCTTGCCTGATAATTGTTCTAATGCTATATAATTACACAAATATATATATTTCAAAGTATGTATATATATATTAAGTATATGGATACTTAATATATAAAGATATAGATATATTTCCAAGTATACATAAAGTATTACAACAATAACTAGGTAAAAACACCAAGCAACACTGAATGAACAAAGACCAAAACTATTCTTTCTATTACTTGCCATCTAGTTATAATAAAATAAATGCCCCAGTAAAACACTGTAAAGTTTGACATAAACCTCATCTTTCCATTTTAAAAGCTCAGTACAAAAAAGTGGATGATATGCTTTAGTAAAATTAGAAGTTTTTTCTCACATATTTAAATATATATAAATGGGAATGATTTAGCTCCCTGTAAATATCTACCATCTGCTGTTATTCAACTAACTCTTTTTCCGTCTGTTACATTATAGTATGGTACATAAGTTTTTGAAATACATATCTAGTAGGTCAGCATTACTAATGATTTTGTATAAAAAGCACTTTTCTGCCAACATTTTTAATTCCTTTTTTATTTTTCCTTTTTAGTCTAATCTGTCTGACAACCAATGTAATTTCCACATCTTGCTTCTACTTGGCTACTCTCTGTCTCTCCTAAATCAGGGCAAGAATAGACTAAGAACTATTGTTCTTTGGCTTCTAGAGAATAATACACTTTAGAACACAGGGGACCATCCTATTTGTCTAAATAGTATATGTCCAATCTGTTAGTCAATGTTTGCTCTAAAGCAAGGTCTCACAATGAAGTGGACTTAATAGAATACATTTCGAATACCATGATCTTAGAGACCAGTTCTAAGTTCAAGACCAGATCTTGCTAAGAAACATACTTCAAAAAATCCTACTTTTCTCCTAATGCTGTCTTTTTTGTAAGTTTATAAATGCATCCTCAGAGAAGACCAAACATAATCTGATAAGAGCTTTAACAAGAGCTTATGTTTTACTGAATTTTAAAAATCTTTCCCATAAATACCACATAGAGCATTTCTTTAGCTATTATTTCTAAATATTTTAGTACATATTTCATAGAAAACTTTTTTTCTCTTTCCCTGAAAGAAAATTTTTCTATTCTACAAAGGGCTGTACTCAGATTTTTGACATTTAAGTAGCAACTCTGAAAGACCCAATCCCTATATTAAATGATGCCACATGTATTCTCTGATATCTGAACACCTATATGATGTAGTTTTGAACTTTCAGTAAATTAGGTAACTTGATCCTATTAACTAATGTAAAGGAAAGATAAACTTCTTGATAGGCTGCTTTCCTGGTAGTAAGCAGCCAGTCCTTCCCTTAGCTGGTCCATCTTAGCTAAGAAGTGGTGGTTGGGGCATGGGATCAGACTTGGAACACAAGTGTTAGGAAATCCCTGACTCACTGCTCAAAGTTTGTCTCCCCTCAAGCCAGTGACCAGAAGTTCAGAAATGGTTGCACCATGTAGGAAAATCCTACCCTTCCCAGGAAGGCTGTACTCCATTCCTGAGGCTCTTTCTCACCCTTGGCCAACAAACCCAGAGCTTCGAGACAAGAGTGCAGGACACACTGAGCTTTTAGGTGTGCTCCAAGTTACGGGACTCCCATCCCAAGCCCCCATGCTTGTGGATGGCCTACCATAACTACTACAGTGAGTCAGAGAGCCAACTCTGAATTAGAAGCCACGGAGACCTCTCTGTTGTCCAGACTAGAGCCTACTACATCATTTTTCCACTGACTTCTCACACACGTAAGGGTCAAATAGAAAATTAATTTGTAAATATCAAAACAGACTTGGTGGCCAGAAGCATCAATTGCATATATTGGGGAAATAAAACTTAGGGTTAAATAAGGTATTTATTAATTTTTTTTTAAATTTTGTAATTACCTTGTCATCCTGAAAATCACAAGCCAGCAAGCACAAAGAACAAATGGAGAAAACAATAAGCCCTTAGTTCCATAAATAAACCCCATCAATGAACACCATCATAACAGAGCAAAGCTAACTGTAAAATAAACCCATGAGTTGTCTCTCCTAAAACCAACTCTGTAAATAAATTAGTATTCATGGAACTGGCATGAGGTGGACATTAGCATATACATATGTGATAGTTCTCACTTCTCAGGAAAAACTGCTTGAAATCCTATTTGAGTTGTTTTGGTTTTCCTAATTGTAGGGCATTTGTGAGTATGTGAGAAAATGACCCTCCTGTTAATGTATAGGGGTGAAATTCTTATCCTAGGTCTGTGAGAGTTATGGTAATGCTCTGATAGGAGGTCATTTTTCCAAGTGAAGCCTCCCAGAATACTTGGGGGTGAAGCAGATAAACTAGACATGGCTGGGCTGGATTATCACCTAGCTCACTGGATGTCACTCACTACTGCCCTGCAAAGGAGTTGTGAAATGAGTCTCTGCAACTGGAAACTGAGTGCGACAGCCAGGGGTTTGAAAAGTCTTTATCTGTGTCACAGGCATTTTTCTAAACAAAGAAGAAGCTGCTGCCATGTGTAGGCTAGGAATTGGAGAGCAGGGGCCTGAGAGTTGGAGACAGGGCCATCCCATTAGGGGCTAGAGAGTAGTTTTGAGCTGGGTAAGTGAGGATGTGTGATACCACAACTATGTGCTCTGTTAGCTAGGTTGTTTTCATGTCCCTTGGTTCATTTTTCTTTTCCTTTCCCTTAACTTTAGCTAAAGTTTCTTGTTAGAATACCACTTTGTCACCAAAGAACTAGAGAGAGGAGTTGTGATTCTGGACTCTGCTCCAGCTAGTGTGCAGAGACAGGCTTGTATCTCAAGGCCCAACCACAGAGGTAGTCATGGGAACCAAACTGACACAGAGAAGGTGAGACGTATAGGGCCAGGTCAAAGGAAAGATTCCCCTGCCAGGATCGTCTCATTTCAGACTGAATGGTTTGTGATTTGTTGTAAAATAAGAAAGCCCATTTCTTTATATAACTCTATTTATGGCTGGGATGTTTTTTCCCTCCCAAATTATTTAGTCACAAATACCTTGTTTTCAGAATTTGATATTTTCTGGATCAGTGTTGATCTCTCAGGTACAATCTGCCTTTCTTAAACCCAAATGTTATGTGCCAGAGTCAGTATTTTAACCACCATGCAGAACTACCATTACTCTGAGATCTTCCAGTTAATTTATCATATGGTATGTCATGCAGCTGGATTACTTGATTGTCTAATTCTTGGTAACATTTTGTTTGCTGCATGAACACGGGCAGGGACACAGGCTAGGTTTTAAGATGATTACCCAGAGTCCCTCTGATGGCAAATGACAAAAAGGCCCATCTTTCACCAACACATGACAGCACTGGGTCTCAAATTACCTGAGGCTTCACAGCAATGACTTTGAAGGGCCATGTATACCCTCTGGCATGGGTCCTTTCTGTGGAATCACTACATGCAGCCCCTCTCACCCGCCACCCATCCCCCCCCCCCCCCCCCCGCCCAGCCCCCGGTTTGGGACAGCTCACCCTATTAGACAGAATTCCCTGAAGTGAGCAGAAATCATCTCCATGGAACTTCTACTCAATGATCTCATTTCTAAGCCTTTTATATGTTATCTTTCCAGTTAAAAGGGCTATTTTCAACAAGTAATTTTAAAGTCATATTTAATACCTTCCCACAGCAAGACAATTTATGGATTTATGTACTTAAAAAAAAGAGTAAAATCTTATTTCTTATTTATTCATTTAAGTAATCTGTACACCTAGCATGGGGCTTAAACTCACGAACCTGAAACCAAGAGTCACATGCTCTTCTGACTGAGCCAGCCAGGCACTCCAAATTTTACTTCTGATCAACATTTATCATGGCCAGATTACTACTTCAAGATTAATTTTAAAAGCCCTTTGCTTATGAGAAATGAAACTTGGAAGATCATTTGGGATTTCATTTATTTTTTGCTCACTTTAATTGGCATTTTCAACAGTTTTAAAGCAACATTTAGATTTTTAAAAAAATGACAATATCCTTTAGACTAAATGCTAATTAGACTAAAAATGCTCCTAAGTGTTTGCTTCATTATAAACTGGAGGAAAAGGATAGAAAGAAAGAGGCTTGTTCCCAGACATCCACTTTGGTCACTTGCTCATGCTTACCTTGGGTTGGATAGCCTCCTTCTGGCTCACCAGCTGAGATCTCAAGATGAGGACTTCCTCCTTGCGGACATCGAGCTCCTCACTCACAGAGGTCAGCTGCTCCATGAGGACACGGTAGGCTGGTGCACCTGGAGCGGTCACCTCTGGGGCACTTTTCTCACTAAGTGCCTTGCGTAACTCATTTAGCTCATTTTTCAGTTTTTTGTTTTCTGATTCAAGCTCTTGGCGCTGTATGAAGAGACAAAGAATAGTTCATTGCTGTTATCTTCAACTTTACACTGGAATTCTCTCTTCGCCCAAGATGGTAGAATTGTGCTGGAAAAGACTGTAAGAGTTACCCTAGTGAATGGCTTCCCAGGCTCTACTGGGAACTCTGTTCTTCAAATTAAGAAAGCTGACATCAAAAGGGATTTAGCAAGGTGAATGGTAGTTTGCTTCATCAAACCAAATTCCAGAGTCACATTTATTCCGGGCCTGCCTAGGGAGTGTTCACAGGCCTGGAGGGATTACTGAGCCCCAAGGGGTGAGTTTAGTCCAGTCCTCTTAGAGCCCAGGTTTTGTTCGCAGGTAAATATAAAGGCAGGTATGAGGGTGCAGCTGGTCAGGTTATTTCCAATGAATTGGGGCCTGGTGGGGTTAGCTAAGGACTGGGGACACGGGACACGGGCTGGTGGGAGCCCAGGGCTGCAGTTGGAGTGTGCCTGCAGGAAGTGGGTAGGCTCTGTTCCAGAGACAGGGCTGGGCTCCTGCCGCTGGGCTTTGACCTGGGAGTGCCACAGAGCCTTCAGAGGCCTGGGCTGGTCCTGTTCCCAGCAGTGCTCCTGCTCACAGAAGGTTCAGATGAATAGAACCCTGAAATCCTAAGTAGCATCCTCTTATTTCCTTTGTAAAGCAGAATGGAAAGAGCGTTGAAATCTTAGACTTTCAACTTCTAATAAAAGAAATTACCATATCATTTAAACTAACAAAACTCCATTCAGTGTTTTGATGACAACAAATAGTATATTTTTCAAACTTCACTGACATGTGTGTGACAGGCTTGTGAAGTTGCTGGCAGAAGTCCTGGGAGGTTGGGAGGAAGGGATGGGTCACATCTTCCTTCCGCCATCCAGATGGCCACACTCATCCTTTACCCCCTCCACACTTTCACATACTACCAGCCATCCCCATGCTACCAGTTAGCATTGCCCTCTGCACACGCCACTCAAACAATGGCAATGGCAGCCCAGAGTAGCGTTCTGACACTGAAATACAAATGTCTCAGGATACTGGCTGGGAAAGAGTAAAGCAGACAGGTATTTGAAAGCACCATGCTGCCTTGTTTAGCACATCACATAAGGCCTTACGACAGTGGAAATGAGACAGTTCTGGGTGTCAAAGACAAAATATTTTATTGTTTCTTCCAGAGCAACTACCTTGGGTTTGTAGCACCATACCAAACCTGTCAACATGTTACAGTAAAACAATTTATAGTCTTTTTTTTTCTACTATAGAATATATAATGCTTTTTTTCATGATGTAATCTATTCTTAAGTGAAAATGAATGAGACTTCCTATCCCCAGTCTCCCATCACCTGGTAATCAGATTCATATTGCTCCTTTCTACAAGAGAAAATATGAATGTCTTTACTTGGACACTAAGGTCTGATGCTGTGCTTCCCAAACCTTAAAGTGCATCAGAATCACCTAAAGAACAGACTGTGTGGCCTCACCCTTGGGGTTTCTGATTCACACCCCTGGGGTGTGAGATCCACATATATGCACCTCCAACAAGTCACCAGGTGATGCTGATGCTGCTGGCCCAGGGAGCACATTTTGAGAAATACCAAGCTAATCCCTGGGAACTTTATGATCTGGGCCCCATTTTTAACATACCACAGAGAATGTCTTTATTTGTCCATTTTTGTGTGATCTGGAGATGACAATCCTACGTTCCATGGGCCTGTGCCATCCCATCCCATATGATCCTTGTCTTATATGACCCATATTGTGAGTTAGTCCTTTAGACAAAGGGTACAAAAGGCAAAAGAGTCAGGATAATAGAGATGACTCTTTGCTGCCACCCTTTTTTCTCTTCGAAAACATAAGTACTGTCACAAGTAGTGCTATTACTGAAGGAACAGTAGATTTATTCATTTTATAATTTAGAAAGGGCAAAAGGTTCTTCAGGGTATTTTATTTTATTTTATTTTTTTAACGTTTGCTTATTTAGTATTTATTTTTTATATATGAAATTTATTGTCAAATTGGTTTCCATACAATACCCAGTGCTCATCCCAAAAGGTGCTCTCTTCAATGCCCATCACCTACCCTTCAGGGTATTTTAAAATACTACATTTTTTTGGTAAGAATTAATTTTCAAACAAATGATGCTACGAATCTAGGGTATTTAGAAAGTTTCCTACTGTCTGGTATTCAAGATCAGGTTCTACCCACCTGATAGCAAATCTCTTAAATGTTCTAAGCATCCTTTAAAAAGGAAATACCTTATCTGAGAAGTTGTGACAATGACTAAGATAAAGTGTAGGAAAAACTTTTCAAACTGTAAAGCAAATATGAGGTATTATCAGTAAAGTGTTTATTAAAGGTCAGTGGAAGAATTCTAACTGCCTTCAAGGGGAGGGCTGCTAAAGAAACTATGGGCTGGGCAGGGATTCTCTACACCTAGATGTGCAGCCTCAAAAGGAAGCAGTAGCCACCAGTTCTGGGCTGTAGGAAGTTGCAAATCCACAGAGGACAGGTCCTACTAATGTAAATTATGTTCCACATCACAGTATTAGGAAATAACGTATCAGGACCAGATTGAAGTAATATTACTGAAAAAACAATAATGCAAAAACCCTCATGACAGTTTAGGGAGACCCTAGGAATTCTCAAATACACATAAAGGCTTTAAAATAATGTGTTTCCTTATGCTGTTTTGTGGCTTTTCTAATTCTTAGCTTTGGTTATAATCATAAACCTTGCTATAGTTTTCTAGCTATTCTAGAATATAGTTCACAAGAGGAGAAAACAGTAAAAAATAAACATAGGCAGAAAATGTCTGAGAAAAAGAAATTTAAGACTAATAACCTGATTAATAACCTAGAAAAAATTTTAAAGCTGGGGATGTTTTGATAGCTGATAGCCTGATAGCCCAAACTTCACAGGGCTGACAAGGTTCTGATTCTGGAAAGCAAAGGAAGGAGCTGAGTGAAGCACAACCTACCCTGATTTTAATTTAATTTAATTTAACTAATTTTAATTAATTAAAGTAAACTCTATGCCCACCGTGGGGCTCAAACTTATGACCCTAACTAAGATCAAGAGTCGCAGGCTTCGCCGACTAAGTCAGCCAGGCTCTCCAAGTACATCTATCCTTTATCAAGAAATACGCTCTTGTTTGTTTTAAATCTCAACTCTTGGGTTACCCAAGATGCTTTGTATTTTAAGAACTCCTGTTCCTTCTTAATCAGAGCCTTTTCTTGTGTTTAACTGCTCTGGGACACACAGTGCCTGCTAGATAGACATTGCCTTTAACCATTAAGAAGACAATTCTTTACCTTCATTTTCCTCCTCGCAACAGTTTCTAAAAAATAAAACAGAATATGTTTCTACTGTAATACCTAGCAAACTAATACCTAGTTATCTTCCTCTACAAATACATAGTTTCAGTGGGGTTTGGTGGTTAGAGTACGGAATTTGGAGCCAAAGATAACTATGTTCAAATCCTGTTCCTGTTGGTTTCTAGTGGGGTGATCTCAGGGAAGTTATTTATATCTCTTAGCCTCAATTTTCTCATCTGTAAAATGGGAACTAAAATACTCACTTGCAGTATTATTCTAAGAATTAGAGCTAATATGTACTTTACATAATATATACTTTGCATACTAAAGTACATATTAGCTCTAAGATTACTGTAAGAATTAGAGCTAATACATAAAGTATAGGCATTTAAAAATGATGATAATAATGATTGCAACCAACATTCGCTGGGTACTTACTATGTGCTGGGCATTATCCTAAGCAGTTTACTGGATTACTTCACATAATCTTCAGACAGTCTTATAATATAAATATTACCATTATCTCCATTTTATAGATGAGAAAAGTGAGGCGCAGAAAAGATACATCACTTATACACAGCCATATAGTGGCAGATCTGGCATTTGAACCCACGCAGTCTGACGCTAGAATCCATAGCCTCAAATGGCAGCTACTGCTCCTGATCTGCTTGGACTCAATTCTAGCTTATGTGAAATAGAATCTACAAAAAGGAACAACACAAGGCTAGAAGTAAGGCCTGAATAAGGTTGAAGCTAGGACTTCTGGTGCCCTTAAGGACATTCTGTAAGAAAAACAGAAGCTCTGAGCAGATTACTTGCCAAAACAAGATATTCAAAGCCTTGAGCAGTAACTTCCCATTACCTTGAGTGACTCATATTCCAGTTCTGCGCCTCTAATTTGTGGTCTTTCTTCTTCCTAGGGAAAATGTAAAGTTAAAAACTTTATAAATAAGTAGTTATATTTTAATTGTCACATTTTTACTCAGAATATTTCCTTGCTCCACAGAAAATAGTGAGGAGAGTTGAGCCCTCACTAAATGAACCAAATTCTGCTTAGATAAAGTACTTCTGGGCAGGGTTTCCATTAAAGAAGAGATTGCAGACTTGCACATAAAGTCCCAGACTCAGAGCTCAATTTGCCCTTAGCCCTGGGCTGGAGGAGCACTGCATACCTTTGCCTTGCTGCGGAGCACCTGCTCCTCCTTGCGGTCCAGCTCATCCTGCATCACCTGCTTCTCCTGCTCCAGCTCTGTGACCCGCTTCTGGAGCTTGAGGAACAATGACATGTCCAGAGGTACCTTCTTCTCACTTGGCTCCTAAACCCCAGAAATCATAAGATGGTCAAGATGATCCAGAAGATGTACAAGCCAATGGGAAAATAATGAACAGTCCAATAAAAAAAAAAGAGCAAACTTACAGAAGAAAAATAAATGGCCAAAAAGTATATAAATAACACATCCAACCTAGCTAATGAATAGAGAAATGCAAACTAAGCAACAATTAGCACTACTTTCCCCTGTCAGATTGGCAAAGACTGGAAAGATTGAGAATGCCATGTGTTAGTAACAGCGTCTTATATAATACTGATGGAAGTATAAGTAGGCCTTGTAAAAGGGCAAGGTAACTGCACTTATTAAAATTTAAATGTGTACACCCTTTAACCTAGCAATATGTGTTTAAGAATTAATCCTGCAGAGATTCTTATACAGGTACACAAAAATATACAGAAAAAAATGTTCATTGCAGCATGTTTTGCAATTGTAAAAAATGGGCAAAAAACCCCTGAATGTCAATACAAGAGTTGCTTAAATCATAGTATAACCACACTATAAAATATTTTATAGCTGTTAAAAAAAAAAAAAAGAAATAGATATACATGAGTGGATAAATATGTCCTAGATAAAAGCATTAAGTGAAATATACAAGTTGTAGGGGTATTTATATTATTATCTTATTTTCATTACAAAAACAAACAAATAAATGCATGTGACTCTTAAATATATCTAGCACATGGCATACAAAATTCGAAAAGGTCATCATGGTTATCTTGGAGAATGGGAGGTGCTACGGGAGAGTTTCATTTTCTACTTTATACATTTCTTTTCTTTTTTTAATGTTTATTCATTTTTGAGACAGAGAGAGAGAGTGAGCAGGGGAGGAGTAGAGAGAGAAGGAGACACAAAATCCAAAGCAGGCTCTAGGCCCTGAGCTGTCAGCAGAGAGCCCAACACGGGGCTCGAACTCACAAACCATGAGATCATGACCTGAGCTGAAGTCGGGGGCTTAACTGACTGAGCCACCCAGGCGCCCTGACTACTTTACACATTTCTATATTAGAATTGTTTATAATGAGCATGACATGTTTTTCTATTTAGGAAAAATGATTTGTGAAAAGGTGATACCATAAATATATTGAGATCAGACAGAGAAAAGCGAAAAACTAAAACATGTATAGCTCTTAGTAAAGTGAAATATAACTGAGTAGCATTTGAAAAGTACATCAATTGGTTCTAAAACAGACTCATAGTGAGAACTACTATGTGTAAATAAAGATACACTAACTAAAGGTGAGCAAAGGGAAAGAATTACCAACCACTACCAGGGAAGTTCTGATCATGACATAGGTGATTTACCTGGTTTACTTCAGGTTTGAATTTTTAGTGAGGTAAGAAGAGAAAGAATTGTGTCATTGGATTTAATGGAGAGGATAAAGAGTCTCTTTGTGTTAGAAAGAGAGAACACAGTAACAATAACTTAATTAAATGGTCAAAGTGTAATTCTTAACTGATTAGTAAATCTTATATTTCAAATTGTCAATTAAAACAATTTTTTTTCTGATGTAAAAGCAAAATAAGCTTATGAAGAAAGCTTAGGAAATAAGTACAAAGAAGAAAAACAAAGCCATAATCACATACCCAGAAAAAACCTACAATTTCTGTCCAGTCTTTTTTCTGTAGGTTTAAGTAAATGGAATATTTTCATTCTAATTTTGTATTGTCTTTTAAATTTAGCATTGTACCACAAATGTTTTCCAAATATAGAATATGATACTTGAAACCATAATTTTTAAAAGCTATATTGACATGTGTACCATCATTTGATTATCTATTACCTTACTGATGGGCATTGAAGTTGTTTCTAATCGTTTGCTATTGAAATATACTAAAATACATATCCTAGTACATAAATATCCAAATATTAATGTTTTAAAGTCTGCTAACTTGGTTGGACCAGCTTACACTTCCATCAAGCAACCAACACCTTGCCTGGTACAATGATGGTTAGGATTAAAAAAAAAAAAAAAAAGGCTCAATTGATAGACCAAAAGTGGTATTTAAGTATAGTTTTAATTTATATTTCTTCATCTTTTGATGAGGTTGAATCATTTTTATATTCATTAGTTATCTTCGGTCTTTTGTGAATTGTCAATAGTGTCGAATTCAGTGTTATTCCAGTTGTAAAAAAACATCTAAGAAGAATTAATTAAACTAAGAAGTGGGGCATTTATATGTAGACTATCAAGGTCATTTACCCACAAACTAGTTAGACCTGGATTTTTGCTTACTGTCCACTCTTGCAATGTTAATGTTCAACAGTAAGAAAAAGTTTAGGTATATGGTATTCACCATAAAGTTTGTCCTGACTTAGCAGAACAGACATAACATCCTGCCTGAACACGAAATTATTACACACTTTCATATAAAAACTCATTTCTATACATCCCATAAACACTTGTATATTAGCTTATTTACAATGTAAATATTCCATTCATGTGTTTTTAATGTTTGTTCATCTATTAATGATGTATGTGTACCTGAAAATTTTAATTATTTAATCTTTTTTTACACTGTAATAAAAGACTTTACCTCACAATGAGTATAATATTTCACTCATTGTACTCAAAATGTCATCATTTGGGAATCATTCCTTTCAGCGTTGAATGGGCATTTTCATTTAAAAGGAATCTTCTTGGGGCGCCTGGGTGGCTCAGTTGGTTGGGCATTTGACTTCAGCTCAGGTCATGATCTCATAGTTCATGGGTTCAAGCTCCACATCAGGCTCTGTGCTGACAGCTCAGAGCCTGGAGCCTGTTTCAGATTCTGTGTCTTCCTCTCTCTCTGCCCCTCCCTTACTCATGTGTGCTCTCTCTCTCTCTTTTTCTCTCTCCAAAATAAACATTAAAAAAATAAATAAGAAAGTAAAAGGGATCTTCTTATTAAAATGGGATGGGGTAACTCTTCAGATATTACCAAATACTACATAAAGGATTAGTTGATTGCTAGATAAAAGCAAAATTCTATAGATAGGAATATTAAAATAGGAAATGAAAGAACACAAAACTGCTTGAGGCATAATGACTGGTAATTATTTAAGAGTGCTCTGCATGGTGTCCATTCTTAGCCCTCATGACATATCTAGTCAAAGAGATACCATTTGTCTTCTCTACACCACATGAGCAAAAAGGAAGAATGGGCCATCTGGCTCAGAGGTTTCTGGGGGTTTGCTTTGCTTTCCTTCCTCAGAAAGGACTTTGTCATCCAGAGCTTTTCTGAGAGAGTGAAGCTTTGAAACTGACCTAAAAAATAACAGTCTCTCATCTGAGGAAAATGAGGAAGACAAGAGAACTTATTCATTAAATTACCACCGTAGGTCTGCAGTCATTCTGGAATTATTGCTAACAACAGCTGAGAAAGTTATGGTGACCTTTTCCCTGGGTTTGACATGTGTGAGGAAGCTCAAGGGCAGAAGCAGAACTGGGGTTATTTGTCAATGGCTACCAAGAAAGGAGAAGCCAAGTTTCCAAGAGAATGCAACACCTGACAATGAAGATGCACATGTGGGAGGGCTGCACAGAAGTGGAGCTGAGGTGGGCTCTCCAGAGGGAAACAGCAGTGGAGGTGACAGCCTGACTCGTGAACAACAAATCACAGGTTTGGCAAAGATAGAAAGACATTAATTCTTTATTTTTAATTAAAAAAAAATTTTTTAATGTTTATTTATTTTTGACAGAGAGAGAGAGAGAGACAGAGCATGAGTGGGGGAGGAGCAGAGAGAGAGGGAGACACAGAATCTGAAACAGGTTCCAGGCTCTGAGCTGTCAGCACAGAGTCCGACGCAGGGCTCAAACTCACGGACAGTGAGATCATGACCTGAGCTGAAGTCGGACGCTCAACCAACTGAGCCACCCAGGCACCCCTAGATTTCTATCCTTCTGATCCTGACCATACCTCATCAAAATTGTACGATATTCACTGGAAGCCTGTTTATAAGAACAAAAACATGGACTTATCGAACACTTACTAGGTACCAAACACCATTGCAAGTGCTTTCTAAGAATTACCTCAATTATCAACTTACTATAAAGTAACATAATAATAATAGCATATCAATTCACAGATGAGGAAACTGAGGCACAGAGAGACTGAGGCTAAAGTTATGGACTCAGTTCCAGGAAGGAAAGTTATAGTAGTCGGTCCAATGTTCAAGATAGCCTTTCTAACCAGAGCCGGCTACATTTCAAATGCACGTACTTAGTCACAAGGAACAAGATGACTAGTTCAGTGAAAAGTCTTTCCTATTAGTGAGAAAGATTTCCAGGTGCACGACCTACTGCTAATGGTCAGTGCATGTGAAGGACAATATACAATGCTCCAGATCTGTCTGTGATTTCTGGAGCACAATTCATACTTCGTTATTCAAAAGAGATGAGCAAAGTACTAAATCCCACTCTAAAATAACTGTTTTTTAAATTTATTTTTACTTTTTGAGAGAGACAGAGAGAGAGAGAGAGACAGAGAGAGAGAGAGAGAGAGCACATGCACTCAAGCAGGGAAAGAGAAGAAGGAGAGGGTGGGTTCTGTGCTCAGCTCACTATCGTGAGGTCATGACATGAGCAGTAATCAAGAATCAGATGCTTAACTGACTGAGACATCCAGGTGCCCCTAAAATAACTCTTATTTGGGAAAAGATTCAGCAGAATATAGATGAGAATTAGAAACAAAAAGGTTACCCCTCCCCTCAAATCTGGAAGAATTTGGACAAAACTTGAAAAGAGTAGAAAAATTAGGTAAAGCACAGAAGAGTTTTTGAGATTAAAAACATAATGTCCTCAAGAAAAACTATCAATAAGATGCCTCTTGGCCCTGAGTTTAAAACAAAATAATCTGCAGCAAAAACACCCTTTTCTGTCATGGCTTTCCCCTCCCCTGCAGGAGCTGCTCAAGTGGTATTGCACTGAAGCCAACAGTTTGTAAACATACTTCCCTCAGACTGCTGGGAATGAGTACTCCCATTAAGACCAACTGCATGCAATCCTAAAACCTTCATATCCACTAGAGGCTCAGAGGCTGTAATTTTGAAATCTTCAAAGTCTAACTTTGTGGTAGTCTCCAAAGATAGCTACCAATGATTCCTCCCAACACAAATGTCTTTTCTCCTACCAAGAGATGAAGTCTAGGGCATCTGGGTGGCTCAATCGGTTAAGCGTCCAACTCTTGATTTCAGCTCAGGTCATGATCCTAGGGTCACAGGGATCCGTACTGAGCATGGAGGCTGCTTAAGATTCTCTCTCCCCCTGTGCCACACCCCCACCTCCCACCGTCAAGCTCTATTAAAAAAAAAAAAAAATGTTTAAAAAAATAAAAAGAGATGAAGTCTATTCTCCTTCTCCTGAGTCTGGGCTGGTCTTGTAATTTGCTATGACCATACAGTGTGGCAGAACTGACGCAATGTTGGTTCTGGGCCTGGCCCTAAGAGCCCAGGCACCTTTTGCTCTTACATCCTTAGAACCTATTTGCCATGCTGCTGAATAGAGAAACCACATGGAAAAGCCCAAGGAAGAAAACCTCGGCATCCGAGCTAAGGCTGGGAGGTGCTCTAACCGACACCATGTGGAGCAGAAGAACCACCCAATCAATATTCAAAGAGTTTTGAACAATAATAAATTGCTGTTGTTTGAAGCCACCAAAGTTTGGGATGGCTTGTTACATGGCAACGAATAACTGGAACCACCTCTATTCTGCTACACAGTGGCCAGACTGCTGTGATCAATGGTCCCCAGACTAATGTTGGCTATAGACAGAAATGGCACTGGGGAACTGCAGTGTAAAGTCCCGGATGGGAGGAAGTAAAGAATGGAGCTCCTAACAGACCAGCCTCAGTTTGAATGCCGGGTCTGCCACTTACAAGCTGTGACCTTTGATCAGTTAACTTAGGCTTCTTGTATGTATAGATTCCAACTATATGACATATTTCCTTAAAATGAACACAATTAGATGGCAGAAAATTTCATTCCTGAGTAAAACCAAGACAAAAAAGGAAAGAATCATTCAATTTTCTTTGGCTGTTCTGCCAGAAGCAGTCTATTTCTGACTTGGCCATTTTCTCAGAATATGACATAAAAATAGAAGAGCTGTGCCTGAATTATCCATTAGCGAAACTAACATCACATTTGAAAAGAAGATCTGATAATTAGTTTGGCAAAAATCTAACTTAAAGTCACCATACTCTTGGAGTTACGGTAATGTGCCATTTTGTTTCAATACCCCATAACACAAAACAGTAAGGCAGATTTATAAGCTATTTTTCTTGCATTTTTGTGGAAAAAAATTATTTTGGTAAAAACTGTCATCAAACAGAGGCAGCAGATTTGCTAAACTCTTGGACATTGGTTATTTATAATATTCAAGGACAAAACAATTGACCTCAGTCTGAAATAAATTCATGACAGGCTATGTTTTTTTGTAATAGGGTATGTTAAGATGTAGAAGGGAACTGTAAAAGAAAAAAATCTGGTCATCAAAATTACATGAAAAGTTAAGATGTCTATTGACAAAAAAATATATGTAGTAAGTAAGCAAGTACATATAGGAAAATATAAGTAATAATTTATAAGCTAATTAAGTACCCATTAGTCACTTATGAGTATAGTTTGAAACGATTGTTACATTTAAGGGCAAATGGGGTCTGCCCCACAATGGAAATGTTCTCTGTTAATAACAGCATGGTCACATCCTGGTGTCTAAAATGTACCTCTGTCCTCAATGGCATATCTTCAGTTTCTGCAATTTCAGAGCTGAAGGTGTATTCAGACTCATTGCTGCTATGAGTGGAGTCTGTTCTCTTGTGTCCAGGCTTAGGCACATTCTGCAAGGCAAATAAACCAAGAATAATTAACACAACATAATGAAAATGTTAAGTCATACTTAAGACAGCATCCACCTTAACTTGGTTCTAATACCCACTCACTGACTTGCTGTTCTCATGCCCAAATACGATGTTCCATGTTGTCCTTACCAAACCTTTACAAAAAGGTCATTTTCTGGACTCTTCAAAGAAAGAGAAAGATGCACCATCAGGGCATGACAAGAACACAAAACCAAATACTCAAATGAAAATCATCTGTGATTATTAGCACAGTCCCCTTTGGGTTTTTAAAGTTGTGAGTAGCCAGTCACACTGCGTGAAGTATAGGTATAACACTTCAGTACCCAAACACTGACTTCAGTGTTGCAATTACAAACTTGGTAAAAAGCTCATGAAATATGTTTAATGAAAGCATAATCATTTTCCTGCACTGTATTTGAGCATAAGTGGAAAAAAAGAGAGGGGTTCTACATAGGTGACTATAAATTCTGCCATTTTTGTGCATGGAGTTGATTTTCTGGAGTCAGCAGTGGGAAGTGTGAGCAGTACAGGAGAGGTAAGAAATCTGTTCCAAGAATCCTCTGAAGTCCTGAAGTTACTGATTCAGGGAGTCCAAGTGACATTTCTATGACATGTGGTACCAATGAGATTAGCATTCAGAAAGCTGATGGAAAACAAAAGTTAAGCAATTACAGTCTGTTCCTTCGTGTAGGAGAAAGGGTTAGAGAATGACTTGAAGAAAGAAGGAATAAAAAGGCTGGGTTTTGTACCCCTCACTCCTGGGGTGTTCCCCACCCCCCCAACCTCAGAAGAGGTGAAAATGTCCAGAAAGACCTCTGGAAACTTTTCATCTGTCCAATTTCCTTTACTCCTTCCCCCAGCTGCAGGAAGAGCCAGAAGCCACAAAGAGCTTCTTTGCCTCTCTCTCTCTCCCATAACCAAGCTTATAGAGAACAGACCCAACTGCGTGGCTAAAGGAAAGCCAGCATCCAGGGGCAGTTGAAAGTCTCCAGGCGACCGCAACCGGTACTCTGGTGCATAAGGAAGATCCAAGAACACCAGAACTTCTGAAACTAGCTAGCAGCTAGGGTCCACCCTAAAGGGGACAATCACTCCACATAAAGTCAAAGGCACTCAGATTTACTTTCTGTTTACATACACTGGCAACCTTAAAGTTCCTAGCCCCAGCCAACAGGTATATGGGACGCTGTTTATTAATTGGTTGTGTCATTAAGAAAAACAGGTCCAGGGGCGCCTGGGTGGCTCAGTCGGTTGAGCGTCCGACTTCGGCTCAGGTCATGATCTCATGGTCCGTGAGTTCGAGCCCCGTGTCGGGCTCTGGGCTGATGGCTCAGAGCCTGGAGCCTGCTTCCGATTCTGTGTCTCCCTCTCTCTCTGCCCCTCCCCCGCTCATACTCTGTCTCTCTGTCAAAAATAAATAAACATTTAAAAAAAAACACCAACAAAAACCCAGGTCCATATAAATACAGAGACAAAGGGTTTTAATAAGCTTATTTAAAGATGAGTTAGACCCCTATTTTTCCTCATGTATGTATTACCAAACAACAAATAGCCTAAGGTATGAATAGAAGCAATGCTATGTCTGTGATTTAACGTAACTTTTGTATACAGGACAGTGGTTAAATGCTCTGAGTCTATAGGAGAGAGCTGGGTAGGAATTCCAGGTCTGCCATTTTCTTGTCCCTTACTTCTCCAGGCCTCACCTTCATTATCAGAAAAAGGTAGATAATAATATTATCTACCTAAGAGGGTTTATGTGAGGATTAAATAAGATAGCGCAAGTAAAGAGCATGGTTTTTGGCACGTAACAAGGATTCAATTAATGTTAACTGATGTTGCCATAATTGTTAGGACTCTGAAGTAATGCAACAACTCTCTCATGCATTGCCTTTTGTTCCCCAAGTTTTTAGTCCATATGCTATTCAATTACAAGGCCAAACATACTACTTGATCATCAAGTGCTCCTTCAAGATCTGCATCTCATGCCTCCTCTTATCTGTCATTTCTCCAATAATTCCTTCTTTTCTTGGACCTGTCTTACTCCCTTCGTCAAGATTAACGACCCCACTGTTGACACGCAGGACTCCCTCCTTACTTGGAATGAATTTATCTTTAAACACTTCACAAGCCTGTATTCCATTGCCTCATTATCCTTTCACTGTCTGCTTGAATTTCCTTGGCCCTGGATTTAGTATTTTCTTCCTTCTGCTCTACAACTGAATGTTCCTGGAGAAAAATCCGACAACACTTCTTGGTACCAGGGCCAACAAATCTAGTAATCACTGGTAATCAGTGCCATAAACTTTGGCCCACGTATCACAGGTTACCAGAAGCGCTGAAGCAGTCTTTCAATTCCCCCTCCCTAAAGTTTCCTGCCATCCATTTGAGGAGTCTGTTTACCATAAATGCTTCCTAAGCATTATGGCAGTGAGAGCTGCATCTGCAGAACAGTGTCAATGATAGATTAGCCGAGTACCCATCTGTTAGTTGCGAAGTCCCTACCTAAACATTAAAATAAGATATTGCTATTATTTATTTATTCCTAACTTATAAAGTCCATTTTTTAATTCTCTGCAATTCTTGGCAAATATTTTCTACCAAGACTGCAATCTTCACTATGTCTGGAACTAGGAAAGGGGACCTAATGAAGAGCTGAGTAGGAAGCAAGTAGATTCTCATCTTCCTTCCTCTGCTATTTTCCTTCTCCCTCCTTCTGACCATTTTGTTACCCAAAAGGAAGGACAATGAGTCATTGGCATACAAAAGAGAGGGTTATAAGCTGAGAAATAAGAAGTTAAGCAGCTAAACTGTCCCTGGAACTTGATTACATCTTCCTTTTTCCATAGCACTTCTGGGAACAGAATGGGTAGCAGGCAGAGACTTGCTCAGCAGGAAGGAATAGCCCTGCTAAGTTGCTGGAGGATGGCCATTACTGGAGGGTCTTTTTTTAGACATTTCCAGAAATGTGCTCAGAAAGTGATGTACACGTGGCACATGCTTGTCTCATTTTATTTCCTGAGGTTCACAAGACATGCAGTATTAAAGAATCCCAGAAATTCTGAGGGAGAAAAAAATTTGTTTATCTCTCTTTCAACAGAGATAAATGTGGCTCTCACACTTATTTGACCTCAATCATTTCTTTTCCCAATGCCACTTCTTAACATCTCAAGTAACTAGTGTCTTCAGAAGCACCTCATGGGACACAAAGCTTAGTGCTAACCAAAGCATAAATTAACCATAAACGCTGGCACAGTTATCTAGAAAATAGGATAAAAATACACCCAAGAATGGAATTCTGGGGAACATGATATTCAAAGACAGAGGAAAAGGACTCTAGGGAAAGCTAAAGATGGGAGAGTGTAAAGGAGGAAGATTGCAGCAGGGAGAGCACGAAAGACAAGATTTAATGAGGCTCCTTTTGATTTGTCAATGATAAGGATAATGGTGACCTACTCTTATAGTTTCTCTTTGCCACGTTCAAATCAGGATAGAGTAGCAAGGTTTGAAATAACTGTCCAACTGGCATTCAAATTAGCTTTTTTAACCTCTTTGAGACTAGATTTTCTCATCTTCAAGGTGATACATTTATTTCATTTTTTTTTGTATGTTACATAATCTCCTTTATTTTCCCTTGTTAAATGTCATATTTAAAAAACATTGCCAAAGGGTACAGATAAAGGCAAAATTTGAAGCAAACATTCTCTGCCACAGATATCTGATTACATATTTCAGAGCATTTCTAGCCACGGGTACCATCAGGTTACCTTCAAGGCTGGCACCTACAGGGAACAAGAGAGCTAGGGGACTCTTTGTTTCCTGACAGCAAGATAAGCAGAAGTAAGACGCTGTAAGAAACTATTAAAAGTATGAAAGATACATTGGTAGATGCAGAAGAGTTCTTGAAATAGATGAAATAATTTGTTACAAATAGAGGCTGAACTTTCCTTTTGTAGGAATATATCTTTGAAACTGTAACAAAAAGTAGTGAAGGAAATACTCAGTTATATAAATATTTGCTTTACATGCAAATTTTACATGAAGTCATCCAATACATAAAATGAAGTCCAGCTATATGACTTTATACTAACCTACAGTCCAGTCTTTAAAATGTTTGACTTTGCAAAGTATTTATGAATAAAGTTATATGATTTGTGGGATCTTCTCTACAACAACTCAATCCACTGGATAGGGTGGGAAGGAGGGATAGAGTCGGGGTAGAAGTGTGTCGGCCATTTTGGAATTGGGTAATAAGTACATGAAGTACACGGGGATTCATTCCACTATTCTATCTGCCTTTATTTATTTTTTTTTTCAACGTTTATTTATTTTTGGGACAGAGAGAGACAGAGCATGAACGGACCAGGGGCAGAGAGAGAGGGAGACACAGAATCAGAAACAGGCTCCAGGCTCTGAGCCATCAGCCCAGAGCCCGACGCGGGGCTCGAACTCACGGACCGTGAGATCGTGACCTGGTTGAAGTCGGACGCTTAACCGACTGCGCCACCCAGGCGCCCCATCTATCTGCCTTTATAAGTGCTTAAATTTTTTCATTAAAAAAAAAAAAAAATCAAGTGTTTGACTCACTACCATCAGAGTCATCTCTTCCTTGAGGTCATCATATCGTTCTTCTAAGCGACTGAACTCATTCAGAAGGTTCTGATACCTCAGCCTTTCATCATTAAGATCGAGTTCCAGTTGTTTTGTTTCTTCTACTAACTTCTTCTCCATAGTCTCTGAAAGAAAGAAGAGAGAAAAGCATAATAAAGATGGCTCTACAAAAGTCAAGAGTACAAACATTTACACTGACTCCCAGCTTCTCTGCAAAGAATTTTTTTTTACCACCATGATCTATGAAGAGTATCTTATTGAATGTAGGGAAAGAGAAAATACCATGACAAAAAAATGAAAGTGTTTGTTAATAACAACAATCATCTACTGAGTTCTTCCATATACTATGGATTCAATGCCACTACTTCATTCACTGGTTATGGCACATCCTTGATAAACTTCTACTAGTCATTGTCTAGAAACTAAAGTACTGTATTTATTTTTTATTCCAATATTCTGTTTCAGGCTATCACAAAATTCTTTTGTCCAAATTAGTGTACTCTGTCAAAAAGTCAGAGATAGTTCTCAGATCTCTGAGGGAGTGGCAAACTCTCAAGGAACACAGCTATCCTTTGCTACAGTCAACTCTCTGCTCACCTCAGTCCCCAGGCTGAGATCTTATGTTTTCCAGCATGCTGAACAGCCCCCAGTCCTATTACTCTCCCAATTCTAACCAGATAAGATCCCCATGTCTGGTCATGTGTGTGGTTACTTCTCCTGTGTGCTGCGGGGGGCACCCTGAACTTTCCGTTTACCACCCCATTCTGCTCACTTTGTTGCCAGCAGCTTGCATTTGCCTGGGATGTCATCTGGAGACTGGAGACGAGCCCCTGACTATAAATAAAGCAAAGTAAAAAAGCCACAGATCTCAGCTGTATGTTTTAACTCACTGAGTCAACCAGTCACATCTATAAATGTATTAAGCTTCCTAATATTTATATGGCCCACTTTATCCTCATGCTTAGTGACTAGACCTTAATCTGCCCTGCTTGCTTCGATGGCTTCACCATTTCTTTCCCCATCAGCTCTATCATAAGGGCAAGGGCCGCAAATGCCTTGTTTCTACTGCTTCCCTGGTGCCCACTACAGTGCTTCCCTAAGGTAGGGCTCTACTAATGTGTAAATTAATGAGTGAAAGAATCTCTTCTCCCTATGACATTCTATAAATTGTCTTGTTCTTACCAGTTTGCAGAAGCTGCCTGAGGCTACCAAGAAATTTTCCCTAGGCAAATCCAATGTTATTTCTTTGTTCTTCTCATCCAATTTCAAGTAACATTTTACAATTTCCCAGAAGTATTCTCATCATTCTGGATCTTTCCATTACATTCTGCATCCTAGTAGCCTTCTTTCCATGTCTTCAGTGACTGTTTCAATCTCTCCTATCAATTTTCCTTTCTGGTTTCTTTTCTTCACCTTATCCTTTACCTGTGAACATCCTATAAAGCTTAATTTCAGATTTCTTCTCTTTTCTTTACATTAGTCCCTTTTAGGGAGGAGGTGGTAGGGGAAAAGGCACAGAGGGCTCTCTTACCATCATAGCTTTAATGGTACCTTAAGGCCTATTTCTTTCTGTCTCTAATCTTTAATCTCAATTTGTTTTTAGGACATCTCTATATAGAGGCCCCAGCTGACATCCAAAATTTAACATTCTAACAACTGATCTCATTAATTTTATTCATAAACAAGTATTTTCCCCCTTATTTTACTCATTAGTAATAACACATCATTATTGTTGAAATAGCTCATGTCAAAACTTTAGAAAATTTTTATCCCTTTTTTGAATACCACATCAAAAAGGATAATGTTCTGGTGATTCTTTCATATACTGTATCTTTGCTCCAATCCATTTATTTCTCCCTGTCTCCACCACCAATTACTATAGCTTAGATCTACATCTTCTTAGCCCATGTTTACTTACATGTGGACTACTTGTAAATTATCATAATTCTTATCTATCTTACAAATGGAAAATGGAGTAAATGTCCACATCTAGTTAGTTTTCTATTCAAAAAATTAGAGCTGCTTTTTTTTTTTCTTTTTTGGTGGAAAAAAGGTAATTTATCTTGGGAGAATAATATCTATTGGTTTAGCAAAAAATAAGTAAATAGACATGCATACGCATTAGCTCACGATTTCTTCCTAATTCAATAGAACCTATGAGTCATAAGTAACATCATAAATGGAGAACAATTCATTTTTTTTAATTGCAGATGATAGTGACTGTACATGAATTCACATTCGTACATAGAAAGATGAGATTTACGAGTTCACCAACTAAATCAAACAAAATACTTACTGTGCTTGCCTCTTGGAACTTCCTGAGTTGAGGGATGACAATCTCAACTTTTTAAAACATTTAAGCTCTAAGCAAAGTTGTAACTTAGAAAACGTTGGTCTGAGGTTGGCTGAAGCACTGTAGGTTATGGCCACGCGAGCCTTACCTGTCATCTCCTTAGCCTGCTCCACGATAAGATGATTGAGGGCCTCTTTTTCCTGCTTCAGCAAAGTATTTTCTTCCTTCAGATTTGATACCAGCTATAAAATAAAACAATAAACTCAGGTGGCTGCAGTAGACAGAGGACACCCAGTACCGAATATAAAGACCACACAGCAGTCCCTCCTTACTTCCACATCTCTGTGCCCCATTTCTGTGCCTAGTTCTATCTAGTCTTCTTTCAAACTTGGCTCAAGAATTACTCCAGACAGCCTTCCTGGAAACTCCCTCCAATTGGGTGTCTCTCCTACAGGACCCTGTATGTCCCTCGTTACAGCCCTTATAAATGATTTACTTTTCCTTCCCCAATAGACTGGAAATTCCTGGAGGATGGAGATAACTGCTGTTATTTTACTTTGTACCTTGAGCATTTAGCAACTGCCTGACACCTAGTAAGTATTTGCTCTTGAAGGAATGATAATGTCTTCTCACCTCAACAGCCTAACACAAAACTTATGTGTACTCGTGATTCAGGTATTAAGAGAGATTAAGAAGGTTCAGAAAGATATGAAGGGCATTTTGGTTCTGGAATTCACTGAATTCCTTCTGAAGCTCCCTGCTGTCTGTCTTGAGAAAGAGAATTTCCCTTTCATCTCCTTTTAAGAGTTTTACAAGGTTGCAAACTGGTCCTTTTATTCCATGTTTAAGCATTGGCCTTACAACAGTGTGAAAGTATTTAATGCCACAAAACTGCACACTTAAAAATGGTTAAAGTGGTAAATTTTATGTTATGTATATGTATATTTTGAAACACACACACACACACACACACACACACACACACACACACACAATAAACAAAACACATTGACCTTTCACTTTCTAGTTCCCAGTTGGATAAGGATTCCCAGGAAGCAAAAATCAAAGCCAAAGGTTAACTGTGCAAAGTCTATAATTTACTCAGTTCATCGTTGAAATAAATATGTGTTTGTGATGAGTGAAATTTGAATTTTTCTCTAAGCATAAATTTAAGGAACTCTTAAAGTGATAGCTTCATTCATTCATTCATTCTTAAAGTAAGCTCTATGCCCAATGTGGGGCTCAAACCCATGACCCTGAAATCAAGAGTCACATGTTAAAGCAACAGCTTTAATCATAAAGAGAAAACTATCAGGAGTTCAGAGACAGAGAAAGAGGGCTCTGTGACTGATAATCCCTAAAGACCAGGGAGGTTAGACAGGAACACTGTGCCAGAGCAGAAGTCAGTCCAGAAGGTATTCCTTCTGATGGCTCAGTCTCTTCCCTCCATACTGATATGACCTTAATAGCTGCTGTCAGTAGAAAGCCCAGAGTTCCCTATGTGCTTGTGAAAGAAGTTGCTCTGTCAGCGGTGTGCAACCAGTAAACTGTGCTGCTTCTTTGAAATACACGTGCTAGCCCACACCCCTAGAACTTGGCCAGGCATCTTTCTAAAAACTCTCCAGGACATTCTGATACACACTCCTGGGCACAAACCACAGGTCTAGTGTACCTTCTAAGCTCCTTGATCAGCCTGGCTGGGAATGTAGCTTTTCTGACCACAAAGCTGGCTGTCACAGTGGAATTTTTTCATTCTTCTCGATCGCTACACTCTACTCAAAAGAATTAATGGTAGTGCCTACTGGGACACGTGGGTGGCCCAGTCGGTTAAGCATTGGACTTCGGCTCAGGTCATGATCTCAAAGCTTGTGAGTTCAAGCCCTGTGTCAGGCTCTGTGCTGACACCTCAGAGCCTGGAGCCTGCTTCGGATGTGTGTATCTCTCTGCCCCTTCCTTGCTCACATTCTGTCTGTCTCTCTCTCTCTCTCTCAAAAAGAATAAAATAAATAAAATAAACATTAAAAAAATTTTTTTAAGAATTTATGTTAGTGCCATGGGGCGCCTGGGTGGCGCAGTCGGTTAAGCGTCCGACTTCAGCCAGGTCACGATCTCGCGGTCCATGAGTTCGAGCCCCGCATCAGGCTCCGGGCTTATGGCTCAGAGCCTGGAGCCTGTTTCCGATTCTGTGTCTCCCTCTCTCTCTGCCCCTCCCCCGTTCATGCTCTGTCTCTGTCCCGAAAATAAATAAACGTTGAAAAAAAAAAAAATTTAAAAAAAAAAAAGAATTTATGCTAGTGCCTATAGCTCTCTCTGGGGAAAGCAGAAGATAACGAAATAAAAAGAAAGGAAAAATCTCAATCTGTTCATGTATGCTATTCTTTCAGACTAGAAAGGTATGAACTTAACTTTGAAGAGGAAAAGAGAATACTCCTACCAAGCCTAAATACCCTATGGACTCAGAGGAATCTGAAAAGCTTCTGTGGGCTCAGGAAATGAAAAGGAGCTCTTAAGCTTCAAGAATATCCCTTTCAATGCATATTTGAATTCTGATAGAGTAAGTTTATCATGTCAAAATAACGTGTTTTAAAGGCATTGTTGTTTCTGTACACAGAACTCAGATCTGCTAGAGACAGAGGAGGAAGTATTTTATTAAGACCCTGAACACCATGGAAAGATTGTACACTATCCTATCTGAATTGCATCGTAGCTCTTTCCAAGGTTTTTACTGCATAGGCTGTATTAATATTCAGAAGTCAATACAGAAAAAGCATAGGAAACTGGGAGTTTTGCCAGTAGTTACAGCCAACAGTCAAATCTGTTTTCACTTAAAAATGGTAATACTGGGGCGCCTGGGTGGCGCAGTCGGTTAAGCGTCCGACTTCAGCCAGGTCACGATCTCGCAGTCCGTGAGTTCGAGCCCCGCGTCAGGCTCTGGGCTGATGGCTCGGAGCCTGTTTCCGATTCTGTGTCTCCCTCTCTCTCTGCCCTTCCCCCATTCATGCTCTGTCTCTCTCTGTCCCAAAAATAAATAAAAAACGTTGAAAAAAAAATTAAAAAAAAAAAATGGTAATACTAGGGGCGCCTGGGTGGCGCAGTCGGTTAAGCGTCCGACTTCAGCCAGGTCATGATCTCACGGTCCGTGAGTTCAAGCCCCGCGTCAGGCTCTGGGCTGATGGCTCGGAGCCTGGAGCCTGTTTCCGATTCTGTGTCTCCCTCTCTCTGTGCCCCTCCCCCGTTCATGCTCTGTCTCTCTCTGTCCCAAAAATAAATAAACGTTGAAAAAAAAAAATGGTAATACTAGTGGAACTTATGAAAATCTATCACTTTTTTCAAGTAAGCTTTATGTTGAGGTACTTTTGTTTAAACAATACATTGTATCGCTGTTTGAGAACCTTAATGTTTTCCATATTTAATAAAATTCTGATAGAAGTTAATATAAATGTGTGTAATGTAGAAGCACCAATATGCAGGCATTCTTGTTATTGTTCTATCTGCACAGCAGCTCCTGGCTACCCTCAGGGTGCAGACATTTGGATTTCTCTCTCTCGGACTTCTAACACAGCCTTGATGTGGGTTTCCATAAAGATCTCTACTATCAGCTAGTGACATTTCACGGTTTGATTGGTTTCTTAATCATGTTAACTCTTTTGAAGCAAAAGGAGTCTACACTTCATCCAGACCTATGTATTTAAAGTAAGAGTGAGAGTAGGTACATGGCCTTTAATTCTTTGCCTCTGATCTTACTAGAGTCAAAAGATTCTACTAAAAGACGCATCATGTGGGAGAAATGCTTGGAAAATACTAATAAGGAACAGGAAGCAAACTGACATTTGTATTTCACCTTCAGGTGAAACCAACACTGAGCCACATGGGCCAGGTCATGATGACAGCACATTTCCTTGGTGAAAGGAGTAGATGGGGATACGATAACTAGATCCTACCTGCTCAGTTTCCTGTTTGTACCTATCTGCATGCTCCTCAATGGATTTTTTCTCCGACTGAGTTTGTTCCAGGTCTTTCCGGAGCTTGGCAATTTCTTCCTGCAGACTGAGGACCCGTCCAGTGGCAATCTTAGCTTCCTCCTCACTTAGTTGAAGACGCTCCAAGTCACTTCGTAATTTCTCAGTCTCAGAGGTGTATATTCCTTCCAGATTGGTCAGTTTCTCCATGAGGCATTTGTAGTCTTTGTTCTTTTAAACATATACATAAGTAACAATAAGTAAACATATGTATCATCAAATGTATTTTGAGATAACCTTATTTATTGATCATATTCATGCTGTATCATCACAGCAACAATAGAGTATCTAACCGCAACCTTTACAATTAAGGCCTATTCTTAGGGATACAAAAAGAAGATTAGGCACAGTTAATTCTGTAGCATGGATGTGATTTTCTCACAGTCACAAGGTAAGTACCACAGTAAATTCTTAATTTCCTATTCTTAAGCCAGAAATAGAAACATCTATACTTGCTTTGGAAAACAAATCCATATTCTATAAAAGCCATATGCTCCCAAGTGATTCTTAAAAATGATAAAATGGCCACAAAATTGCAAGTTACTTACAAATCGTTTTGTTACCTTAAAACTCCTCCCACTCAGAAAACCTTCCTGATGGATCCTGCTTTATTCTGTTTTTTGGGTTTTTGTGTGTTTTTTTGTTTGTTTTGTTTTGTTTTGTTTTTTGCTGTCCTCAGTATTTATATATTACCAATTACCATTGTATCATTTGCATGTGCTAAAATATTACTTAGTAACTATCTCTAGGAAATCAAATTTTATCTCTGCAAATAGACTGTAAGCTCCCCCAAAGCACAGACGTCTTCCTGCTTCTTTTGCCATCTCAATGCTAAACGACTCATCTGTAAAAGGAACATTATACTTTATGCAAATGAATGATAATGACAAAAGAGATTTAGAAAGTATAAAGTATAATATGACTCTTGGGCACTAAGGTCTGGCTGTAAATTTCCTACCTTAGTCCTTGCAATCATAATCTTACCTATAAGCTTGTTACTATTTCCGTACTCCTTACTGTCATTATTATTTTACCTTTTTGCTGCGACTGAAAAGTAAAATAAGGGGAGATACTGCTGAAAATAATCCCAGTGGAGTTCTTCAAGCATGCCCCACTCTCAGGGCTCCTGTTTAAAACACACCTGGTTGGGTACCTGGTTGGCTTAATCAGTTGAGCATCCAACTTCGGCTCGGGTCATGATCTCATGGTTCGTGAGTTCAAGCCCTGCAGTGGGATCTGTGCTGACAGCTCAGAGACTGGATCCTGCTTTGGATTCTGTGTCTCCCTCTCTCTCTGCCCCTCCCCACTCAGGGTCTGTCTTTCTCGCTCAGAAAAAAAATAAACATTAAGAAAAATAATTTTTTTTTAAATAATAAAACACACCTGCTCATCAACTTTGCGCTGTAGCTGCATTATCTTGTTTTCCATGCCGATGTGGAGCTTCTTATAGCGCTCCACAGAGCGGGCCTCGATCTTGAGCTTCTTTAGCTCACGCTTGGCCATCATCCGCCGGAAGCAGCACTGAAGATAGATGATGGCATGCATACTCCTCCTGTAGTAGGTACGAGCCAGCCAGCCCCGGACCCACTTCTGAATGATAACTGCTTTGTGCTCACGGAGCATCTGCACAGAAGAGGTAAGAACAGGTAATGTCAGACCCTGGACTGGACTCAAGGTTCAACATTATATGGAATCCATAAACTATCTAAAGGGAAAGATACAAAATTTGAACCAACAATGTGCTATATGGATTGTACATAGCACAAATATACGGAGGCACAAAATTATTTTAAAAGGAGATTTAAAAAGTAGACTCAGGGGCGCCAGGTGCTAAAGTGTCAGATTTTTTCAGCTCAGGTAATCATCTCACAGTTGGTGGGATCAAGGCCTGCATTGGGCTTCACACTGACAGTGCACAGGCTGCTTGGGATTCTTTCTTTCCCTCTCTCTTTGCCCCTTCCTTGCTCGTGTGCACATGTGCTCTCCTGCTCTCTCTTTCCCTCAAAATAAATAAAATGAAAGGTGATTTGAGAATCATATAAAAGTCTGTGTTGGGGTGCCGGGGTGGCGCAGTCGGTTAAGCGTCGGACTTCAGCCAGGTCACGATCTCGCGGTCCATGAGTTCGAGCCCCGCGTCGGGCTCTGGGCTGATGGCTCAGAGCCTGGAGCCTTCTTCCGATTCTGTGTCTCCCTCTCTCTCTGCCCCTCCCCCGTTCATGCTCTGTCTCTCTCTGTCCCAAAAATAAATAAACGTTGAAAAAAAAAATTAAAAAAATTACAAAGTCTGTGTTATGTTCATATGTTATATGTATACATATGATGATAATGATGATAAGCAGAGGATACACATAGATGCTGTGTATGTGTATACTAAAAGGAAAACAATTCTAAAAACAAAGAAAAAACCATATTAGGTTTCTTATTGGTATATGACTTCTGTTAGCAATAGGTGATCCCTATAAAAAGAATAGAACCCTGTAGTATTAAAATAAAACACTGACCCCCCCCCCCCCACACACACACACCCTTACTGCTGATACCATATGACCATTCATTAGGTCGATGCTTGAAAACATGAGGCATGACCTGCAAGCTGACTATAGAAGCCAACGCTAGGGCACTGCAAAGTTTGTTACTGATTTATTGACTTTATCCCCCAGAAACAAAAAAAATAACACTCTTGTTTGCCATATTTGAGGAATGCCATTTTAATGAGGATCTCCCATTGCTATTTCAAATGTAGCTGGAATCCACTTAGGAAATGCAAAGGTAGTAGAGAGAAGCTTCAAAAGAAAAGTAAAAGTTGAAGTGAAGTAAACTAATCTTAATTTTGATTTTATACCATATTGTCTAAAAAAAATTATATTACCCTAAATTTACAAACAACTTATAACAAAAAGTTGCCTTATGAAATGAATTTGTCAATAACAACCATCAAGTAGGGAGTTTATAAACAATTTCCAGAAATGATAGGGAAAAAATTCTTGAATTTTAAGACAGGTTAAACTAGCAAAACCTTGAGGTCCTTCCAAGGACCTTGAGGTTTAATGAGATAACTCTTATGTGATATAGATGATGTTTAAATGTACACACCTAATTAAGTATTTATTAGCAATTATTACAAATGGACATAATGTATCTCTTGTGAAACTTTTTATATGTAAAAATCTCTGAAACAATTCAAAAAGAGAGAGTACCTTAATAAAATCATTAAAAGAATAGCTTCTCTTTTTAGGTTATTTAACAATGAAAAAAAGGTAACATTCTAAAGAATACATTTAAGAGATAAGTGGTTAAGTTTTAAATGACCAAATACAAAAAAATCATAGGTGTTTAGGAGATCTTACTAGTCCCTCTGGCAATTGAAGGCTGCCCTTTCTGGCTGCTATCCTAATGCTAAGGCAGCCTGCAGGTTCCACTAAGTACAGTCGCCGTGATTCACATTGCAGTGAAGCCAGCATACTGAGCTCTCACAGAACATCAAAATCCTGAGGGAGCCCCTAATCTCATCCGGATGACTAGTGACCAACTGGGTTAGACTCAGTGATGGAAACTGAAGGCTTTCAGATTTAAAACTCAGAAGCACACAGTGGCAAAGCTATTAATGCCATTTTCCTATTCCATTTCCTTCTTTCCACGTTACTTCAGACATTGGTCCATTTCTGAAATTTAGTCAACTGGAAACAGTAAATAGAGAGCTTCCACTCTCAATCGCATGTCCATCAGTGAGTCAGAAAAATTAAATAACACCTGCTCTCCCTTTAAGATCCCCAAATCCCATGAAGGGGAAGCTTGGACTTGAACACAGCTAGAGGAAGCACTAATGGGGTGCTACTGGCCTAAATGTGAGTTAGCCTCTAACTTGCAACCCCTGCCACATCTAGTCACAGTGGGAGCTGAATTGGCCAGAGCCTGCCTCTGCTAAACCAATGGCCCCACAACCCGGTTCAGATGTTCCTGAGGCAAATGGTGGGGGAGTGCGAGGCAGGGAGTAGGGTAACCAGTTTGTTGTATCAAAAAGGTCAAGATTAACAAGGCTATTCCCTCCCTGAAAGCTCATGCTTGTAGAGAAAGAGCACCAGAAGGTGTGGGTAGAGAGAGAGACCTAGAGTAGCTGTCTTCAAATTTTCTTTAAAACAGAGCTATAGAATATGCTCATTCAAATCTCATCAACTTTCATTTTTCCTTATTCTTTAAAATTATTTCAAAATAAGAAATATAAACACATAAATAGGACCTAGGTCATGCTCACGCATTGTCTGTGACCAGAGACATGTCTCTCAAATTACCCTACTGATGCTCCTTCTAACGATGATGACCACAGAGCTCTAAAATCCAGACTGTATTTGTCTTATGTAGAGTATATCCTAAAGGACAGACTCAAAGCCTTGCCAAAATAAGAGATAAAAATCATATACTGTCAGACGTCATGATTAAGATTAATCTGGTGATCCGTTATGTATAGTCATGTTGATTATTGCCAGCTATAAAGATTATTTGTCAAAAATGTCTCAAGCATCATATTCTAATCAATACAACTGTAACCACATTAATGTAATTTATTTTCTTTTCACCATGTTAAATTCTTCTAAGGTTGTTTCATTCTTGGAACTATCTTATGCCCATCTATCATATATTCTACCTATTCACAGCTCATCATAATTGGCTGAAAAAAGGCCCCTAAGGACCTCAGATCCTCATCCCTGGAATCTGAAAATGTTACCTTATTTGGGAAAAGGGTCTTTGCAGAGGTGGTTAAATTAAGGATCTTGAGGTAGGGGGATTATTGTAGATTATCTGGGTGGGCCTCAAATCCATCATAAGCATTCTCATAAGAGACAGACAAAAGAAGCAAAGTTAGACACACAGAGGAGAAGATGATGTGCGGATGGAGGCAGAGGCTTTAGTGACATAGTCACAAACACAAGGGACACCAGCAGCCACTTGGCAAAAGCTGGAAGAGGCAAGAGACAGATTCTCTCCTAGAGCTTCTGGAGAGAGTACAGCCCTGCTGACATCTTGGTTTTTGGTCCATTGATACCAATTTTAGACTTTTGGCCTCAGAACTCTGAGAGAATAAATTCCTGTTTTTGTAAGACACCAAGTTGTTGGTGATTTATTACAGCAGCCATAGGAAACTAATACACTTTTTTTTTTTAATTACAAAGATAAAAGGGGGAAAAGGAGGTAATTTATCCACTATCCTGTTAATAAATATATGTACTTATTTAATATTTAAAAATATATTTCAATTGTTGGTTGTCTCCCTTCAGTTTCTATGCCCACAGGAACCCCCGTGGTATTCTATACAGACGTAGAATTTGATTAATGTTCATGGAATGAATAAACAAAGTTGGAAATAATGCCTCACCTTGCGGTACCTATTTCTGGCCAAGTAGCCTCGCAAATAAGACTGAAGAACAATAGTGGCCATTCGTTTTATCTTGTATCTCCTGTGGACTGTGTACATGCGCCAGTATTTCTGAATGATGGTTGCTGCCTTGGTTCTGCGCAGGAACTTAGCATAACTGGCCAAAGAAAAGAGCAGTATGTCGTAAGTAATCAGACAAAGCCAGGAATAAGTTTTGTAGAGACTTAAAGCACCAATATCTTCAGCATAATAAGTAGTACCTCCACTGTCGTTGTTCTAATAATGTACATGTTAAATCACTTATATTTGTATAGCAACTTATAGCTCCCCCAAATATTTTTGCACTCATTATCTGATTTAAGCCTTCCCTAACTCAGAAAAGTAGGATGTCCCACATTACCTGATATTACAATAAAGAAAGTGAAGCTGAAAAAGGTTTGCTCTTTCTAGAACAGTGCATATTGTCCCTTTTACATAGCCAACTGGCTGTCCACAGTCATCCCATGCTTACTTACCACCAGCTTTCTTAGAAGTGCCATTGCTAATGTGTCTATTTATCCCTAATCTATCTGTTTGGGCATAAATTCTTCATCATTAATTCATTCCTACTGACAGTCCTAAATTAAAATTATCCTCATATGTAATCACACTGAAGTGTCACTCTCTTCCAGATCTCCTCAGTTAACTGCTCCTAAAAACTCCTCAATGGAATCATTATTAACAAGCACATATTCATGATTATTTTAATTTAAAGATGATTTCTTCAAGCTCATATAAAAGTACAAAGTATAAAAAATACTGGGGACATGAGTAGGCAGTAATTTGTAATTTTTTTGAAGATGAATCTACATCATTCATAAGGGTGAGTGAAATTTTACTCTATTTACTGTCTTGTGAGTAAACCTGTTACTCTTTGAAACTAAGAAGAGGTGAGGCATTGCCTTCTCAAATGGGAAGACCACTCAAAACTGTCCTCAGTTGGACAATGAGCTCTCCAATGCCAGGGGCCCTGAGTCAGGGTGGACAGGCGCCGAGAGACCTACCATCGGGCCTGGTAGCCCCGCACGTATCTCTGCACAATGATGGCCGCCTTCCGCATGCGCAGGTACTTCTTCCGCAGCAGCCACCCTCGGATGGTCTTCTGGATCCGGATGCAGGCAGCCCTCAGCTTGTCCGCCCTCAATTTTTCTAGATAGGCTACTTGACCAGCACGGAAAAAGATCTTTGTCTTACCAAACTGGTATTTGTCCTTGTCCTATTTTTTGGAAGAAATTGTATACTGAGAAGTAGAAATGATGACCATGTAAATGAACTTTTAAAAGAGAAAAAATATATCTAAAAGCAGAATCAGTAAAGGGATGAAGCTAGTAGCTAAAACTTGGGCTACATCATAATTAACTAATGGAGCCAGATTTTTTATCCTATGTAAGTTGAGCAAATAGAAGGGACTGTAAGGAAAACTGCAGTTTAAGAGTTATTTTCCAGAATAATTCTACCTGGAATTATTATCAGAGGCCAAAAACTTGGTTGTGAGTTATAGGCAGCTATTATTTGCATGTCTGCATTTTAAATATCTCAAGGAAATGGAGATGCTGACACTCCCTCTGACTGACTCAGGCTGTAAGTATTACATCAGGCTGTATGTTCCATGAGAAAGCTGAAGGGACAAAAACACCAGCATGAAGAAAAAGGCCGGAAGCCGTGCACACAAAATTAGAATCGAACAACAAAAAATTTTGCATATTCATATCAAGAGTTAAGTTTTCAATAGTTATCTGTTGCTTTTATCAACAGAATCGAAAAATAAACAAACACAATCCTATACATGTATCTAAAATCCTTCTACAAATTTCAAAACTCCTTTTACAAAACCATAATCACTTATATTGCTCATTGACTTTGGATTACAAGATATGCATGCTATTTTTGGCCTATTGCATTCTGATCCACTTTATCTAGAAGGAAGCAGGTTATTAACCATGCTCATGTCAAAGGAAGAGTGGGATTTATTTATAATAATCACTACCATGATCTGCAATTCTAAGGGAAAACAAAGAAAACTACTTTTCAGGGTAAATAAGTATCTCCTATCCATCTTGCACATGAACCCGCAAAATCAGAAATCTCCACATATACGTAAAACATGTAAAATTATTTCAATTTAAATCACAAAAGTTTACATAGGAAGCCCAGCTGGAGACCTAAACAGCTTAAACAGAGCTAGAAGGTGGTTCCTCTCCCCACCCCCCACCCGGGCCCGGCGCATCTCAGCTTCCCCCACCACACCCCTGCTCTCTTCTACCATATAGCCTCCTCTGTCAAACCACCCTGTAGAGCCCTGAACCAGGCCGGGCATGGTCTGGGTGATGAGGTGGAGAACTATCCCTACTTTCTGCTCTCTGTTCCCTTCTGAACCCAGGATAGAAAGGAGTTGGTCCAAACTCAAAAAACATGATTATTATACATTACAAAGATAGTGGCCTTAGCTCCTCAAAAAAAAAAAAAAAAAAAAGGTTTTATTATCAAAGAAGAGATATTACATTTAGCTAATAGTTAATAATTAGGGCTAATTACCTCAAAGTTAGGTAATCCATCCAAATTAGTGTCAAACAAGTGAAAATATTTTCTAAGAAAACCTCTCATGAATCTTAAATTCTTCATGAATTAGATCACTGGTTCTCAAAATGGAGTCCTCAGACCAGCATCAGCATCACCTGGGAACTTGTTAGAAATGCGTATTATTGCACTCATTCCACACCCACTGAATAAAAAATTCTGTGAGATGGGGCCCAGAAATCCGTATTTTGACAAGCTTTCCAGATGACTCTGATGTATTCTGAAATTTGAGAACTCCCTAGCTTGGCATACAAGACTTTTCAAACACCAACCTACATTTCTTAACCATTTCCCTACTGTGCCATACACCAATCTTATATAGCAAAATGAACACATTTTGCCATTTTCTGAGCAATTTCTATGCTTTCCTACTTCTTCACACTTGCCCCTAGTAGAATATCCTTCTACTTTTATACAATCTTACCAATTCTTCTGGGCCTGACCAAAACACGCATCTTCCATGAAATTGTTCCTCCTTCCCATAGCACACGTGGGATGTGCTTTGCCTTCCTCTGATTTCTTTAGTATTTGATAGACACCAGGCATATTATACTTACCTTAAAATGAATGAATTTCCAAGACAGACTATGTTGCCTTAGGACAAGACTTAGTTTTTTTTTTAATCACACAGTACCTGGTCTTTTATCTTCCATAAGTAAGTACGAGGTAAACTTTTACTGATAATGATCAAACTCTAAAACGAATGTGTCTCAAGTCTGGGTCCAGGCCTCATTCTGTTTCCTGATAGTAGATCATCACCCTCACTAGGGCTAGCATCCTAAACACAGTGAGCCTCGACCTCTAAGACAGTGTGCCCCCCACCTTCTCACCCCCAAATAATTTGGATTAGTGGTATTTCTCAGAGCATTCAAATGTTGCAATCACAAGGCCTTTGGCCAATACCTGTTCAGATAAAGTTAAGTGAAAACCTTTCTTACCGCTATCAGTTTCTCTAATACATTCTTGCATGTTTGCTTTCTGTCACTCAGCACATCCTTTTGCTTCATTAGGACACGGTAGCGACTGAAAAATTCTTGGTAAGTCCACCTACGTAAAGAAACTCACATCAGCTTATTTAAAGAGGTAAGAATGTCTCCCATAGGATTCCTTATATTTGAAAACTGCCACGCTCACCGTGAGGGGAAGCCTGCTGCACTGATGCGGATGGTTTCCAGGACACCACACGCTCTGAGTTGCTGCACCGCCCTCTTCTCATCAAACCTATGTGTAAAAGTGAGCATCAGTAATACACAAAGAAGCCTGGTTATAGCCACAAAGTACTCCCCTCAGTCCAGAGAATAAATTCTTTTGTAAAGAATTAAATGGATAAATTAGAAAAGAAAACATTCCAAAGTTGGAGCAGTGATCAACAGGGAAAACTCTGTGTGACAGTGGGGAGGAGACAATCAGCAGGAAAGATTAAGAGCTGTAAACATTATCTGTAGCTCATACAACAGACTCATAAGAATACCACTGAGCATATTTTTAAAAACCCAAGCCCCTCTCTATTTTGCCTATACTCATTAAATGGCTTGGCCTGATGAGCTGTTTTCTTAATTCTTTAGCTCACTCTATACACCTACCTGGAATAAAGACTGGCCAGCTCTGGAGATTTCTCTAAGAGGAACAAATTAAATATGCCCCATTCAATTATTTAAAAAAATATATTGGTGTTCTAAAAGCTATTCAACTTTGTGTGTGCATTTATAGTGTCTGCATCAAGGAGAAATATTTTTATTTTGTATTGTATCTTATATATGTTATGTTTATTTTACTCATATTTACTCATGCCGTTAACTGGGGTATAACATTAAACTGACACTAGAAGAGGAAGTAGCGAGGCCTGCTTCCTGCTGGATGATCACTCTTTGTAGACCCCCAGTTAAACCTGGAGTGCCCTATCCGAGCCTCCTGCTGTGCTGTCTTGTCAAGCATTCTGTTGGTGGTGGGAGATGGGGTTGGGTGATAGAAAGTAACACCCCTAGGTTTGTCCAGGAGAGTGGCCCTGGATGTGGCAGCTTTTCCTGCCTCCCATTTCCTCCAGAAAGGGCTTCTCGGCACCATTCAGAACTGCCCTGCATCTAAGGCAGAATCTCAGAGGATAGGATCGGCAGGATGTAGGAAAATGAGCACTCATACATTATAGGGTGGGAGTGGGAATTATTACAACCTTTGGTAAGTGTGCCTAATCTATGACCCAGAAACTCCACTTCTGGAAATATATTATCCTAAGAAGATAATCAGGCAAATATACAAGAATGTTTGGCAAAATGTATTTATTGTAGCATCGCTGGAATAACTTAAATGGTCATCAACAGGGAATAATTTAAATAAATGATGGTATGTTTATACAATGAGATACTATGTAGTCATTAAAATGATAATACAGATTTTTACTTTCTAACATGTAAAATATCCATATTGTTAAAAAGCAGATATAAAACAGCAATTACAGCACAAGTTGCTTCCTTTTATTACTGTCTCTCTTTCTCATTCTCCCTCAGTCTCTGTCTCTGTCTGTCACACACACACTCAGAGCAGAGAAGGAAGGGATGTTGGTTGGTCAAGAAGGATCTATGTGAGTTAATACCAGTTATCTCTCAGGGTATAATGAATGTTTTTTCGATTGTTTTTATCCTATTTTATATTTCTTAAAAACTGTTTTTGCAATGCACATGCATTACTTTCAAAATTAGAGAAATAAATATTTACATTTTTGGAAAAAGAAAAAAAAACTTCTTCCTTATACATGGTATTTGTGTAGGATGAAACATTTGGTAATAGTAGACATTCTCTGATGGCGTCAACAGTTGAAAAGTAGCAGAGAGAACTGTGAACATTCACCAACGCAGCCTTATCCAATCCAGCTCTGGAGTTAACTAATGCCCAAATTAACAAAAGCCCAGAAAGATCTTGAACTAAAATAAATTCAAAACAGAAGGTAGAACTAGGAATGCTTGGTTGACCTCAACTTCTAAAATCTTTAAAAGACCACCGGCTGATTTACTGCTAATTTGTTATCGTATTCTCAAAGGGAAACAAAAACTAAAAAACAAAAACAAACAAACAAAATTCACCCAAATATTTTTTTCCTTCTGTTGGTATGGAAATCCTTATGGGAGGTGAACCCTTTTTAATTTAGTAGTTGGGAAATACTTACGTGAATGGGAACTTGAAGTCATTGGGCTTAATACAGCGCACATAGTGAGGGGTAGTGGCATTGAGGGTCTCCATAAGCAGGTGAAGGGAGTTTCGGAACTGCATGGAAAACAGAACAGAAAGGGACATCAAGGTTTTGTCAAAATCAATGATGATATAAAACAATTTAAAAAATTTTAATGACACTATGGGAGATGATTTTGCCACCTATGAATTTGATCCAGCCTCAAAGGGGGGCTGCTACTATTTAAGAATACAGGGCTTTATGTATAGTGGAAATTCTGCTGCAAGATACTAATAAAGAAGCAGGGGACTTACAAGAGCACAGGAAGTGAGCAGGAGGATGGGGGCGTACAGCCAGTTTGGAGTTACCATTAGGGACACAGGGTCAAGCCTGGAGGCTGTGGTCCTGTCTCAGTCCCTGTTTCTTATTTTACCTGGGCATAGGGTCCCCCACACAGGAAAGCAAGCTGACTGGCTTCCCGTCCAGAGCACCCAGCTTTGTCCAGACACTACATATGTGAGTAATATCTCCTATTCCCCCACAGAGCCGAGGACATCAAAAAAAAGGAGAGGCCTCTGCTCCTGCGCTGAGGGAGCCGGTGCTCTGTACAAATCCAGACAGGAAAGAACCAGAGGACAAACAAAAGGCAGCAGTGGTCTATGAGGGAGGATATGCACTACCAGAATGAAGACCTAGAGAAAATTATTTGGGGAAAGGCTTAAACAGTCATGGGTCTAAGCCTGGGTGGAGAGGAGCAGGAGGGGTTTTACATGTTCTCACAGTAAAAGCTCTAGTCTCTCTTCACCTCCTCTGGGGTGCTAACAGAAGAAGATCTGAGACTTCAGCTGAGCTTGAGGGGAAGGAGCCCTGCAGTGGCAGCTCCCTGAACTCACCTGGTGCCCCACAGTTTTCTTGTGCTCTTTGGCTGTCTGGCCTGGTCTACCTTTGGTCAGCTTTGCAGGAGTGCGGGTGAGGGGCGTGCGCCCTGACGAGGTGGCTGAGGTTGGACTGATGGCCTTCTCATCATCTTGAAATAGTTCTGGTAGCATCTTAAACTGAGTCAGAAACAATAAAAGAAAATTACACTCTAAATAAACACAAATGCAAACCTTCACAGAAACAATGTTGAAGACTTGGAATCCACAGTGATTCCCTTCCTTAAGTAACTCCTTTGAGAGCCCCATTTCAAATATAATCAATATCTGTGTTAGAAGCTAAAGACAGAAGAAGGTGACACAAATGCTACAAAAATATAGGGGAAAAAAGCAACGATTCTATGACCATGTTTGGGGGAAACAAAATCAAAACTACTCCAGTAACACTTGAAATCCTAATCTACACGAAATGGCCACTATAAACATATTACTCGTCTTTAATTATTTTATGAGCAAAATACTAATTGAAAGTCCTATCTTACTACCTTAGCTCCACAAATGTTTCATCATCATGTTTCAACTGTCTATTAATTCAAATGGTAAGCACCAGCTTAAAAAAAAAATCATGGAGATCTCAGCAAGAAGGGTGTCATGAACTAGTTTTTTAATATCATAAAATTCAAAAATAATCATGAATTAATAAATTTTAGAAAATAGCATAGATTATAAGGAAAAAAGTTAAAAGCCCTGAACTTGTCCTGTAACCTTTTATATTTGTTTTCAAGGGATTGATAACTTGATTGCATAATTCCTGCAATCAATCTTGTGTTGTACCAGGTTAGCACTATGAAAGACTATTAAAAGATCTAGCATGGGGCATCTGGATGGCTCAGTTGGTTGAGCATCCAACTTCAGCTCAGGTCATGATCTCAGGTCATGAGTTCAAGCCCCACATCAGGCTCGCTGATGTTAGCCTATCAGATCTTCTGTTCCCCTTCATCCCCCATCCCTTCTCCACTTGTACTCTCCCCAAAATAAACAAATATTAAAAAAAAAAGATCTGGCACTTAACAAGTGGATGGATGGTATTAGTCAATATGGTTGGGAGAAATTTTAAGGAATAAAAGAGACTTCAAACTAATCCACAAGAAAATCTTGATCTATGTAGGTATCTTTTAAAGAGTGCCATATTCCACATAAAGTAAATCCTTCAAATTATAATTGCAACTACCAATTATTTGTCTAAAATTTTGGCATATCTGCCGAAAAAATAATTTTCTTAGGAGAGCCGTTTCATTAAAAAACAAAATCACGGGGCGCCTGGGTGGCTCAGTCGGTCGAGCGTCCGACTTCGGCTCAGGTCATGATCTCACGGTTCTGTACTGACAGCTCAGAGCCTAGAGCCTAGAGCCTGCTTCAGATTCTGTGTCTCCCTCTCTCTCTGTTCCTCCCCCACTCATGCTCTGTCTCACTCTCTCCTTCAAAAATAAATACAAACATTAAAAAAAAAAAATCAAGGGGCGCCTGGGTGGCGCAGTCGGTTAAGCGTCCAACTTCAGCCAGGTCACGATCTTGCGGTCCGTGAGTTTGAGCCCCGCATCAGGCTCTGGGCTGATGGCTCAGAGCCTGGAGCCTGTTTCCGATTCTGTGTCTCCCTCTCTCTGCCCCTCCCCCGTTCATGCTCTGTCTCTCTCTGTCCCAAAAATAAATAAACGTTGAAAAAATAAATAAATAAAAATAAAAATTTAAAAAAAATCATAAAATTTCATTTGCTCCTGATGTGCCTATTAATCATAAGGGTAATTTAGGAAATAACTCATGATGTATAAAACAAATTGTTTATAAAACATATCAATAATGGCTGTTTGCTACACAAATGAATGTATCCTTTGCTTTACAAAATAAATAATATATTCTAGTTTGGTTGTCTATAAACAGGAAAACATGTTGTACCACTATCTTGTATTACAGTGCCAAAGTTGTGTTCCAAAGGGGTAAAATAAGAGTTCCTAACAGTTTTGATTTGCAAACCCAAGCTATGTGTATCATACACCATCTCCCAACTCCAAGTGCAACAATGCTACATAGACTGGAGTCCCTCCAAACAAACCCTCAGAATGCATGGCTACCTTCTGATAATTAAGGATCCACTAGCCAATCAGAAAAGTTAGTCAGAATAAAGCTATAACTGATTACAGGTGCCTGTGAATGTTCCATTTAAGCTAAATTACCTAGGCAGAGTAGTTAATACAAGAATTTCATGGTTTTTATCACTATTCATAAATAGAAATGATTTATAATCTAACTGAATAATATTCAGGGAAAGGCACTGTGAAAGATTTTTCTCTTATACATCAGTCCTATAAGTTATAAAGCATTAATGCCCAGTGCTTATAAGTGAAAAACTGACTTTTACTTAAAGTCATTATTTTTCTGGGGATTAAAACTGGAATTTAGTCTTTACATGATCTTTCTATTATCAGAATAATTGAAAGTAGAAGTTTTAATTCTAAAAACAAGAGTAAAAATGTTTACAGAATATTCCACTGAACTTAAAAAGACTCTCTTAGAATAAACTAGGAAAACAAAAGTGCCAGTCAATAGTCTAGAATGATTCACATGAATAATATTAGTTTTTGTTTGTTTGTTTGTTTGTTTACTGAAAAATTGAATATTCATTTTGCTGAACTAAGTAACTGGCTTCCTGGTTTGCTCCCCAGGATGAAAGTGAGCAGTGTTCTCCTCCCCAACTTTTCCTGAAGAGAGTCAAAGAGTGGAGGTTGAGACCAACCTAATAACCAATCAACTGCAGTCATCACATTCTCTGCAATCAGGAATACTCATTTCTAACCAGAAAGCACTCTTTCTAGTATATATGCCTATGGAAAATAATTTGAAAGTACTCTGGGCCACACTTGCAACTGTATTCTGAGATCTAAAGATCAATCTCCATCTGGATGGAGTGCTTAAGGCCATGTTTCCAGAGCAGCCTTTTAAAATGATACAGCAAAAAAAACCCTGTTTTCTCTCATAGTCTCTCACAATGGCATAAGAGAATCTAGAACCAGTGTGGAGAAAGCAATTTCACATACAACTGAAAGACAACATTGCATAATGGTCAAGAGCACAGACTCAGCCAGACAGCTTGTGTCTTAATTTGACTTGAAAACTTACTAGCTATGAAATCTCTGTGCCTCCATTCCCTCATCTATAAAATGGGAGTGATGATAATATCACCTCATTATAAAAACTACATGAGTTAACATTTCTAAGGCATTTATTTTTATTTTTTTTTTTTAATTTTTTTTTTCAAAGTTTTTTATTTATTTTTGGGACAGAGAGAGACAGAGCATGAACAGGGGAGGGGCAGAGAGAGAGGGAGACACAGAATCGGAAACAGGCTCCAGGCTCCGAGCCATCAGCCCAGAGCCTGACGCGGGGCTCGAACTCACGGACCGCGAGATCGTGACCTGGCTGAAGTCGGACGCTTAACCGACTGCGCCACCCAGGCGTCTAAGGCATTTAAAACAAGACCTGACACACACTAAGTGTTATGTATTTGATAAATTAAAAACTCACAGTAAAGCTGATTCTGTTAGAAAAATCATCATTATTGTTAAAAGGCTAATGTTTCAGGGCGCCTAGGTGGCTCAGTCAGTTAAATATCCGACTCTCAATTTTGGCTCAGGTCATGATCTCATGGTTTGTGAGTCTGAGGCCCACATCGAGCTCTGCACTGCAAGCGGGAAGCCTGCTTGAGATTCTGTCTCCCTTGCTCTCTGCCCCTCCCCTGTTTGCTCTCTACCTCTCTCCCAAAATAAATTAAAAAAATAAACTTAAAAAAATAAAAACCTAATGTTTTATTACTTAACGCTTTAAGATTATTAGCGATTAGAGACAGTATATACATAGTTACATGTATATACATAATTACCTTGCTTGATTTCAGAACTTTAATTTGTTCTTCAAAAACAGTGTCTTTATTCTTTTCCAGAAAGCCTTCACACTGGTATTCCACCTGAAAACACACGCAAAATCTCCTTAACAGAACTTTTGAACAGATATTATTGTCATCGACAACAAGAATGTTTTTTAGCTCAGGCTATATGACTGGCTCTCAGCAAACTGGAATCGGTTTTATTCTAAGAAATCAGTACCATTCTTGGGAAGAAGTACGTGAACTCTAGAGTAAAACTCCTCAAATACTGTTTTTCCTAGGGAACAGTGGTAGTACTGATTAATTGTGGTCTAATAGATCTTCCCAATTCATGGGTAATGAGACTCAGAAGAAGTTGACTCTCATCTCCCATGCTGGCTGAAAAGAGCTCTTCCAAGACTAACCCAATGTATTTTCTTATGACTGAGATCACCATCCAGGAAGGGTAGTCCTCTTGGGAGAGAAGAGATTAAATTGGGAGAGAGATCAGAAGGAACAAATGGCTGCCTGACTGAGAGCTGAGGGGGAGGCTGGGTAAATATGATGTGACTGGTAAGTGGAACTACTCGAGAAGGGACTGTTCCTGCTTCCAAAACACCAACGACTTCAGGCATCTACCACTCAGGGTGCTCCCCAGCCAATACCGCAAAGCCCTTAGGTGACCTAAAGTCACATTCTTAGGCTTCCAGAGAGGATTAAGGAGATTCAGAAGGTCTTCAATTCCTGAAGGAGACCCCAGAGAGCTTACCCCCAATGTCTATTTACACTTCCTTGAAATATAAATTAGTCTCATGGCTCTTGATTTTCTAGGTACACTACTGAACTTGTGAAGCAGCGAGTCTGCGTGCACTGTCAGCAAGGACCAACTGACTCAAACACAGAGGGGGACACAAGTCCACAGGCTCTATTCTGACCCCTCCAAATTTTTCAGCAATCTGAAGCAGCAATCTGTAATCAAACACATTAACATTTCTACATTGAAGTACATAAATATCCAGCCTTACTGGGATAAATAAATACTATATATAACCTCATGTTAGTTCAGGTCACAGATCAGGTTTAGCCAAGAAATAAATGATGAAAAGATTTTTTAAGTTTCAGAGTTCCTTGGTTTGCAGAAATATACAGGATTGTAGACTCATATTTATTTCATGATATAATTCCATCTAGGTTGAAGGAAGGGAAAACTGACAAAGCAACACATTTCCTATAAGGTCCTAAAGAACGCAAACTTCAGCCAAGAAAAAATTGGTATCGCTTGACTATTGATTTTTTTCCTCTTTGAACTTAAGTATTCAGAAAGAAAAAAGATAATAAAGCTTCCTTACTTTGTCAGCAAAATGTTGGATGATGAAAGCTTTGTTTGACAGACGGGGCTTTTCAAAGAGTGCACATTTGTTCAAATGTGTGTTGTACAATTTTTGGGCCCAAGTGTCATCTGTACCTTTAGGCATCTACATTTAGAGGGGTTAAGAAGAAAGAAAACCAACAACAGCCAAGGTGAATATTGTTATGAGATTCTTCTCATGCATTAACCAAGAGACCATTTTTTTTGCTTTTCCAACAACTTTTATATTCAATTAGGAACTCATTCCTTCCACATTTTTCATTTAGATGCCAAAATCAATTACTAATGAAAAGCATTGATTGAGACCTTCCCACGGGTGAGTCAGCCCAATCTTTGGGCAACTCCATCTGCCTATACCAGGAATAATCAAATAAATATTCTATCTGTTTTTAACACAACAAAAGCCTGACAAATAAAAGATGAACTACTATGATTTCACGTATTTTTTTAAGTAAGCTATACGCCCAACGTGGGGCTTGAACTCATGACCCCGAGATCAAGAGTCACGTGCTCTACTGACTGAGCCTGCCAGGTGCCCCATATCATGTATTTTTTTTAAGTTCTTAACAGCTGCACAGAGTGAAATATTTATATAATTCAGAAAGGTATAAAATGAAGAGTGATCTCTCATCATTTGCACCAACTTTTTTCTTTCTGACTAAAGGCATGCACACAAATAGGATCATTCTATAAGCTCCTTGCATTTTTTTCTTAATGATAGCATTCTTGTATTTATCGCCACCAGGTTGTTATTCTTTTTTTTTTATTATTATTATAAAATGGTCACCATTACTTCTTTCACGCGTATACCTTCGGTACTTTTGCAAGCATACTCATAGTGTGAACTCCCAACAGTTCCACTGTTGAGTCAAAAGGTACATGTGCTTATAGTTTTGATAAATATTGTCAACTTTCCTCAAAACTATGTTGTATTAACTCGTGCCCTTCCTCAAGATTATAGATGCAATAAACATTCATTTGGTATTATCAAGTGAAAGGTATTATCAAATTTAAACTCGCCTATCTTGGGGCGCCTGGGTGGCTCAGTTGGTTAAGTGTCTGACTTCGGCTCAGGTCATGAGCTCGCAGTCCGTGAGTTCGAGCTCAGCGTCAGGCTCTATGCTGACTGCTCAGAGCCTGGAGCCTGTTTCAGATTCTGTGTCTCCCTCTCTCTCTGACCCTCCCCCATTCATGCTCTGTCTCTCTCTGTCTCAAAAATAAATAAACGTTAAAAAAATAAGTAAATAAAAAATAAACTCGCCTATCTTATAGGTAAAAAGCAGTATCCCATTTTTGTTTTCATTTGCATTTTTTAAATTTCAAGTGAAACTGAGCATCATATTCATTCTTAATGTTGTAGGAAATCTGGATGCTTAGGAGAACCAATCTATGGTAAGTTGTAACTTATGGCATACAAACTACAGAGGAGTTAAGAGAAAGAATAAGTTATTTGTCTAAGATCACTCAGTTAGTAGTAAAGCTGGAGATCCATTATTTTCCCAGTATATTGTGTCTATAAATATTAAAGCTAAAACTCCCTTTCTACCATATCTATCAGTAATAAAGAATAAGCAGTCAATTTTTAATTTTTTTTTCAACGTTTATTTTTGGGACAGAGAGAGACAGAGCATGAACGGGGGAGGGGCATAGAGAGAGGGAGACACAGAATCAGAAACAGGCTCCAGGCTCCGAGCCATCAGCCCAGAGCCTGACGCGGGGCTCGAAATCACGGACCGCGAGATCGTGACCTGGCTGAAGTCGGACGCTGAACCGACTGCGCCACCCAGGCGCCCCCAAGCAGTCAATTTTTAAATCACAGATATTTAGGACTATTATTCAGAATATTTTGTACAATTTCTTGCATTTCTTTAAATATGTCATACCGCTGAACAAAAATACCAAATATAAGCATACTGAAAACAGAAGTGGCTAACACTGGGTAGTAGTTATGTCTAATGTTAATTTTTCACACAACTTAGAAGCAGCTGAAAAGAGAAAGGAAATTCTCCAAGTTTCAATTGTAGTTAGAACCATTTGGGCCTAGTGACTCTTCAAAATGCAAGCTAGGGTGACACCCCCCTCCCCCACTTGCCACGGTGGCACCTCATGGTATACTAATGAATCTCTGCTTAAACTCATTTAACTTCAAAGACATAACTCTTCTGATAGACTGGGTACATCAGAAAACCATATTTACCTTGCATTCCTCATCCAGCAAATCTAGAATACCTAGTTTAGATTCTATAAGATTAATGCAAGGTTGATTATCATAAAAATCTATGAGTGTCCATGGAATTTGTTCCTTCATATATTCTTCTTGTTCTAATTTGAAGACATGCTGAAATGAAAAAGAAAAACTGGTATTACCGAATCATTATAAATAATGTTAGTCAAGAAAAAACATTTATAGAAAACACTCTAAGAGGAAATCTGACAATTTGAGATAGTCCATGGCTTCCAACAATAATAATTTCATGGGAGAAACATGATTTACATACAGAGAACAATAATAAGAAGCAAATAAAAATGAGAGACGGTAAAATTTCAGCTGTAAACGATTCTTGGTGAACAAGTAAATCTAGATATGTGGATGTATTAAATAGCTGACAAATGTAGCAGTCTTTTTAATTTATTTTTTATATGTATACATCCAACACTGCACAATACACTTTTTGGCCTCAAATTATTGCACAGTGCTTCTAACAATGCCATAGCTGGCTTGAACAACCATGCAGAGCAGATGCCCCTTATACTACTAAACCACACTGGGCGATGCTTACAGCATGGGGAAGTAATGCTCTTAAGGGACGGTGATATTGAATTTCATGTGCCTCAGAATTAGCTAACAGTCTTTTGTGTCTGCCTCCATTATTTTCCACATCAGGGAATCTACAGCTCACTTTTCCAGATTCTACATCCACTGCTGCAAGCAGCTGCAACAAGTAGCAAGGTACCACTGTTTCTGCTAAAGGCATTGGCCACCAACCTCACCACTGCTTATCTTCATTCACTCGTTTAGACAAAAATAAGTATCCACCTTCTCTATGTGCAATTACCACATACCATTAACAAAGTAGACACGGGTTCTGCCCTCACAGAGTTTGCAGACTAGTGGAAAATCAGACAGAAATCAAATAATCACATGGGATCAGAAACTGTAGTGTTACAAAGGAAAATAATTCAAAATAAGGGAGCAAGAGTCCTCATCTAGTTTGGACACGGGGTGGGGGTGGGGGGAACACAGGAGAGGGGAGGGAATGCTTTCCTGAGGAAAAGCTGCTGTGTGACATGAGCTCTGCAGATGAATGGTAGTTAAGTTAGTCTAGGCAGAAGGGCAAGCCAACCACTGGTACAGTTCTTGCTTCAGGCTGCCCAATGCAGCAACCCACAATTTCTAGTCTTTCTAAGATGTTAATGGCCTTGACTCATTCGTTGTTGGGGGTTTCTGCTTTCCTTTGTCTCTTTTGTGTCCCTTGTTCTCTCGTACATCTTGATGTTTTTTTCTGGAAAGAATAGCCCTCTGTGGCTATGTCCATACAACATATTTTCTAGGACCTCAAACCCCATGAAACTTAGGTGTCACTCTGATTTCTCAAACATATTCTCCTTATGCACCTGGAATTTTTTCACTTTATTCTGTACTTGTTATAATGCCCTTCCTGGCTCACCTGCAGCATTTACCAGCTGCAATAAGCTTTAGTAATTAAAAAAACAAACACCCATAGGAATATTTATGTCATGTTAATCAGAAAGTAAATTTCTTCTGTTCTTTTGATGAATGAGAAGGCAAATGGGGCACCAGGTGTCAGCAGGATACCCTGACTGATGGTACCAATATTTCCCAAAACAATGAGCCATGTCTTTTTTTAATTCAATAATGTATATGCAGTCTCCACAATGACAACAGAAACAGTGCTCCAGATTTTAAATGGAGCTTGTTTCTCTTCCATATCTCTCTGCCTAATTTGGAAAAGTCCATGAGGCCTCAAAAATTTTAGATACTTAGTTGTCAAAAAGATAATGTTGGCATGAGGTTCAACATGGCGAGAGATCCTTGGTCAAAAAGTAATGCCTCCAAGCACTAAACATGCCAAACACCGTCTTTCTCACACCCAGTGCCCCACCCATAATCCCTGCCAAGGGAGTGGCCCGAAGCAGACAAGTTCTTCACTGTGAGACCCCAAGTTCCTAGTCACAGCTGGTTAATTGCTAGAGATCTCTGAAGAAGAAATGAACAAAGTTAATCAGAATCTCTTCCTCAGCTGTTAAGAACTGGGAAGCAGGCAATTAACAGTGTAAGCTGAGGCTGAAAGAAGTCAAGATGAACCGGAACTAAGCGAGTTAAGAGGATGAGAGGAGCAATACAACCACTGGTAGATTCACAGGAAGCTTGAAGTAAGTGGGGAGGAAATATATACAGAACAGAAGGGAAGAATATGCCATCTGATAGTAAGAGGGAGTGGAGCAGCTGTGCAGAGAGAAGCTAAGATGCAGCATGGGGTGTGTGTGTGTGTATGAGAGAGAGAGAGACAGAGAGAGAGAGAGAGAGGGAGGGAGGGAGAGAAACAGAGAGAGAAGAAGGAGAAACAGATCAATAGAGACAGAGGGAAAGAGAAAGAGAAACAAGAGAATCAGAAACACACATGCAGAGAGAGGGCATCCTTGAGAAATAGACAAACTAGCCAGTCCCTAATGAAGGCCGGTGTTGGTTCTTTGTATTTCTAGTCACGTTGTGCCAAAACATACTAGGAAAGAGCAGAGGCTGTGGCTCTGATTAAAGTATTAAGAAACTAAAAAAACAAAACAAAACAAAACAAAGTATGAAGAAACTCAGAATAATTAGTCTCTGGTAGGTTTTTATTAATGATCCTTATGCAGAGATGAAAAACACACCAATTATATTCTTACGGAAATAGTCATAGCCTAAGGTTTGAAGATCACTTCTGCATTATTTCCTTGTGCCAAGTAGCTTAATTTGCTAAATAAAGATGGTCCAAATTTTTATCAGAGCATATGCACTATTTTTTTTAAAAAATCAAACATTCTAAAGGTTTGGTGATAACAAGCAACAATCCCTTGTCCCATCCCTCCCCAACTCAGTCTCACTCTCTGGAGAAAACCATTTTTAACTCCTTCCGTTAAACAGTTAGGCAGGCATAAGTGAGAAGAAATATAGCAGATGCTAGCCACAGGCTCAGAGCCACGCAGAGGGTTAAGAGCTACCTTCAGAGGCACCTCTAAGGGGTAACAGAACAGGAAAGTCCTAGCCACAGAGCGGGCTCAAAAGCCACAAGGGGACTTTCAAGAACGGAGCATGCACATAAAAGATGCAACTTGCCCTTAGGTTACACAAAGTCACAACAAAGCCCATTGGAAACTAATAAATATATAATACAGAAAAAATTAGAAGGCATCATGGGTAGACACATGCGCAGATGCCAGAATGTTATATAAACCACCGGTTGTCCATCAAAAACGCCAAAGTCAAATTTACATGTACACAAGGCAGACTTAAAAGGATGCAGCTGGAGCTTGTCAGGGCCATTGCTACTGTTGCTCTGGCAGTGGCCCACTTTCTCTCTTCAAAGTGTACTGTAGTTATCTACTCAATAAACTCTACCTCCCCATTCTGGTCTCAGGTCTCTAATTCTTTGGTGCATCTGGCACAAGAATCGAGTGACTCGACAACACCTTAGCTGTTTCTTCTGGTACTTAACCTCTAAAGAATATGTTTATCTGCTATTTTTTTATTTATTCATTGGAAAAATCATCTACTGATCTCTTGATGAGACAGATGAGGCTAAATTCATATGTATCACCTCTCCACTGCTCCTCTCCTGTCCTCCAAATATTACTACTTTTAGATCTTCTTTTGATTTTTATTAATTTTGTAATTTAAAATAATACCTTTAAACTTCTATTTTTTGTCCTCATCAACTATAGACCATACCACTTGACCTCTCTCTTTATAAGATAAGGATACTAAAGGCTCTTTTCCTGTCATTCAGCTCTCTTCTTTCCCATCTTCAATGTCTATAGGTGGCTCATTTTTAATACCCTCTTTCATCAGTACTAATAACCATCCCTAATCTTGCTCTTAGAACTGTGCCTTGCATCTGCTTAGCACTTTACATATTCTAACTCATTTAATCTATACAACCATGATAGTAAGTATGATCATCATCCCCATTATATATATGAGAAGACTAAGGCCCAGGAAGGTCAATTAACCTGCCCAAGGTCCCTTGAGTAATCAACAGAGAAGGGGATTCCAATGCAAGCAGTTTACTTTTGGGGGTCTACTTTTTGCTCTTCACTATTATAATCTACCGTCCCTCATTTTTAAATACCTTGAAATCCCCCAATACCATGATAATGCTTGAAGATATCTGACATTACTACTCCACAAGAGCCTCTCTCAAAATATTCCCATTGCCATTGTCCTGGTGAATGTCTCAGACTGCTGAAGAGAATATGTAAAACAGCATATGTAAAAAAATATGTACAAAAGAGAATGTATTCTGATTTTATTCTGGCATTTTGCTGATACAGCAAGTAAGAGTTAAGATAGTCCTAACTCCATAGGAACAACACACTGAAGGATATCCTGGGCTCAGAACTTCATACTGCCTATGTTACTACCTAACATACTTCCTGCATACCTCACTCAATTTATTTTGACCAAATTTTCACTATACTCAGACTATAATATAAAGATCACCTTGAATCCTATCTGGGCCATAAACATATTTCTGGTGTTGCACTTACTTATTAATCATAAGTTCCTCATCACCTCAGCTGTTCTAAACCCCAGATAATAATTGTAATTTACAACTTCACTTCAGAAACCAGACTTTAAAGACAGAGTAAAATTCAAAAGAATAATTTATAGTAGAATATTAGTTAAAAAAGAAAATTCTTACCATATTGAATTGTTGCTGTAGTTTTTCATTTGCATAATTTATGCAAAACTGTTCAAAACTATTTATTTCAAATGTTTCAAATCTGTAAAACCAAAAATATTATGTGAAGAGAGAAAAAGAAACAAATAGTTTTTTAAACTATTTAAAATATACACATTAGCAAGAAAGAAATGGGAAATTTTCTAACATTTAAAACTTTCTTTCCACATCAGTGAAGATAAAGATCTATAAGTCAGTAATATGGACTCTGTACCCAGCAGACAAGCATCAGCCGTGTAGCAGAGAGATTTTTTTTAAAGGGTCCAGCATGCAGAAGTGTTCAACAGTTTGAGTTTTTGAGGGCTAATTCATCCCCAAGTGAGGGAACAATCAGAATTATGACAAAACAATTGCTCCTGTCACTTTACAGATTCACACTCACATAAGAAAGGGGAAATGGGAAGAGAGATCTCATAGGTTCTTTTGCAAAACTACACAAGATAATAAAAATATTAGGCATCAAAAAGCACAAGTATACAGGAAAAGTTTTAACAGTTAAAAGATAGTACCCAGAGAAGGCAAATTACCAAATGAAATAAGATTTTTAGAAATGCTCTTCTAATGTTCTTTTCTCCTTACCAGTAGGAGACAGAATCTAATAGCCACTTAGAGTTACTAGGTAATCTCTAGAAAGAAATGTCTGTGGCAGACCGCTAAGCCAAATATACTTACCCATATATGTCCAGCACTCCAATAAAAGAGTGCTGTTTGACAGCAGAATGGAGGGCTTGATTGACATGATCTACAATCCAGTTAAAGAGCTTGGCATAAATGTGCTTGGCCAAAGCATCACGGGCATTTGTGGCCTGCAGCTTGGATATGGGTTTGATGTATGTCTCCGTGGTGGTAGCCAGTTTCCGATGGCAGAGCCAGTGACACATCTCTTCATAGTCCACACCCATAAGGTCACAGAAGATGCTGAGAGGTTCATGCTTGGGCTGACAAAAGAGAGTGGGTTATTTCCAATAGAATTTACTAGAAAACACTAAAATGAGGTAAAACAAAACAAAAAACTTGGGGCGCCTGGGTGGCGCAGTCGGTTAAGCGTCCGACTTCAGCCAGGTCACGATCTCGCGGTCCGTGAGTTCGAGCCCCGCGTCGGGCTCTGGGCTGATGGCTCGGAGCCTGGAGCCTGCTTCCGATTCTGTGTCTCCCTCTCTCTCTCTGCCCCTCCCCCGTTCATGCTCTGTCTCTCTCTGTCCCAAAAATAAATAAAAACGTTGAAAAAAAATTAAAAAAAAAAAACAAAAAAACAAAAACAAAAAACAAAACAAAACAAAAAACAAACAAAAAAGAACCACAAAAACAAAAACAAAAAACCCAGCAACTTCTTTGTTATAATGAATGTCCAGATCACTTGAAGCTGATCAGTGATAATCACAATCATCAATCAAACCAGCATCTAGGCAGCATTTTACAGTCTATTTTAGGACTCATTTCACAAACTATCTCTTCCTTTGTCTCTTCACAGCATTTGTTTGTAACTGTCTTCAGGTACCTTCATTCAGTCAGTTGATCAGAAGATCTGTCAGCCTGTCAACAAATATTTACTGAGTGCCGACGATATGCCAGTAAATAAAACCAGACATGGCCCCTATTGTCAGTCACTAAGGGATATGGATATTAATCAAATGATTGCTCCCTAAAACATAAAATCACTGCAAAGAACAAGGGCACTATACTATGATTCCATGTAAAAAAAAGCATGCCCTATTCAAAAGGCAGGGGCCTGTTGCCTTGAGAAACAGAGTTGAGATCTGAAGGATGGGAAGGAAGGCAGTGACTCAGTGAAAGGGTGAAGAAAGGGTCTTCAAGCTGAGGGAACAGCTGGTATACAAATCCTGTGGTTGGAGAGAAACTAGCAGTATGAGAGAATGACACTGAACGAGGGAGAAAATGTCTGAGTTGAAACCAGAGAGACAGGCAAAGGCTACACCATGGCTGGTCTTTATCCTGAGAGCAAAGGGAAACTATTGAAGGGTTTGAAACAGGTAACTTGCATGACTTCTCAGACTGGAATCTCTTTAATGACTTACATGTCCCTATCCCCTACAATGTCTTCTGTAGGCCTTGCATTGAGTAGACATTGAATAAATACTTGTTTAATTTAATCCTTATGAGTGCATTATATTTTTTAACATCTTCACTAGAATGTTTCAACTGAATCCGATGACATTCTCAGAGAATAGGCAGGATGAACTTTGCTATCTTTTAACTGAAATCCAAGAGGACAGGTTGTCAAACATCGCGTGGCCAATTTATAACAGGGTTGTTATTAGAACCCGGGTGTCCTGAACCCTCTTGCACTGTTGGTGGGAATGCAAATTGGTGCAGCCTCTCTGGAAAACAGTGTGGAGATTCCTCAAAAAATTAAAAATAGACCTACCCTATGACCCAGCAATAGCACTGCTAGGAATTTACCCAAGGGATACAGGAGTACTGATGCATAGGGGCACTTGTACCCCAATGTTTATAGCAGCACTCTCAACAATAGCCAAATTATGGAAAGAGCCTAAATGTCCATCAACTGATGAATGGATAAAGAAATTGTGGTTTACATACACAATGGAGTACTACGTGGCAATGAGAAAGAATGAAATATGGCCCTTTGTAGCAACATGGATGGAACTGGAGACTGTTATGCTAAGTGAAATAAGCCAAACAGAGAAAGACAGATACCATATGGTTTCACTCTTATGTGGATCCTGAGAAACTTAACAGAAACCCATGGGGGAGTGGAAGGAAAAAAAAAAAAAAAAAAAGA